AGATGTGAAATGGTTTAGGCGGGATTACTATACAATGAACAGTAAAATATTGTATTATCTTTATTTATGTATATAATATATAGATGTAGCCCCCCCCCCCCCCCCCTATTAGGGGTGGGCAAACAGATACAGGAATCCGCAGATTGGGTAGGATAATACGAGTTCAAGGTGGGTTTTATATGGGTCCTAATTTTGGAAAATCCAAACGGGTCGGGGCGGGTGCTAAACAACACTAGTAGAAAAGTATCTATTGTAGCATTCATTTTGTAGCACCATAAAAATTGCTGCAATATAATATCTATTGTAACATTACTGTAACAATAAATGTCACAATAAAATGATAAATTGCTACAATACATTTATTATAACACCAGTCCAATATGATGAAGCATACTAAAAATGCTATATTTGATATACTGTGACATTTTAACACCTATTGCAACATTTTGCATATGCTACAAAAGCTATACTTTGTTGTAGTGAAATTAGAACGGATATTAGAATTTGAAAACACGGGTACACGGATCGACCCGTTTCGATTTAAAAAAGAGTATTATATAATATAACTTACCAATAACACCCGAAATTTTTCATATTCATGAATTATTAAAAAGAATTTCTAAATCAATATAAACTTCCACTGATAATCTTGCTCAAAAAATAAGATATAACAAGAACATGAAATATTAGATTCATAGAAAGAAGCAGACGGGAAAAGCATTCATGGGCGAGTTTTGGGGGGATCGGCGACACCGTGTCCTAGCAGTACAGAATCGGAAGGTTGTGCGACGGTAAGGCAGCGGTTGTGCGACAACAGGTTGGAGTAGTACAGGACAGCACAACAGCGAGCAGGGTAGAACTACGATCGTTTGTGATAGGTGGTGCGAGGATCTGGGTCATGAGCATCCGATCACGATTGAGTCACGATTCTTTGGGGCAAGGACCCGGTTCGCGTTTGATTTGCGTTTGGTTGGGGCAAGGATCTGTTTCGCGTTTGATTTGCGTTTGATTGGGCTTCAATCAATGGCTTTCCGTGGTTTCGAAGCCGACCGTGGATCTGCATCGACTAGGGTTGCGAGACCCGAAAATCTGATGCTTGGTTTGGCTATTTTGGCTCTGATGGTGATTGAGATGGGAGCTGCACCAGCTGTGTTTTATCTATGTGGAACGCTGGCTGTATGAGTCTCGGTTAAAGAGGGCCAAATTGGGCCCCAACCGGTTAAAGAGTCCTGGTTATAGGGGATCTGCGCGGTTGTTTTGGCTATCTCAGGTGGTGGAGGAAGAAAATGGTATGTGGATGATTCGTTCCCCTCCTGAACCGTCGCCACAGAAGAATTGTGTGAGTAGGATATGGAAGACAACGCTTGAGGAAAGGTTTATGCGGTTCCCGCAGCCGAAATTTATTTATATTTGATATGTTTTGTTTGCTAATCTTTATTTTGTTTTTATTAGATCAAATAATAAGGGTAGTAGATTTGTAGATTGGTTTACCTTAGTTGTTAGATTTCTGTTGAGAAGCAAACAAGTTGACTCAGTCGCTAATACCATCAAAGCTCTCACATTTTCAGCGATTACTCTCGCTTTTTTTGGGTGGGCTACTCTATGTCTGAAAAAGAAATGAGGGGGCCGGTGGGCTTATGCTTATGTTTGTCTAGAGGGATGTTAGTATATGGTTACTTTATTGTTTGCAATTGTCCCGATTGTACTGCAAGTTTTGATTTAATATAATGTGCCAGTTTCCAGTCGAAAAAAACAATATAAACTTCTAAATTATTATACACTATTCCAAATGCATCAAACTTTCTTTATATTTTTCAAAAAATACTCTTGTTCAATAAAGTGTGACATATTAATTTAATTAACTTAACTTTACTTATATTTTGAGATTTATTAAGCTTTAAATTATTTTCTTAAACATATATGTATAATGATTAGTCTAATTTCTTATAATTTTATGTTCATGTTTTTTTAGTTTATGGATGATGATGTCTAATTTTCTACATTTTAAATTAAAGTTTGGTGTTATTTAATTTGTGTAGTTGTGTGTTATTTAATAATATTGATGTACATTTGTGGTTAGATATTTTGTTAACTAATTCAAAACTTAGTTTTATATTTTTATTTTGAATTTTTATTATATTATTGTGATATTGATACTTAATTAGTTTGAAAATTTTATTACATACTAGATATTTTATTATTGTAGCGGTATTTTTAAGAACTGAGAACCCGGATTAAATCGGCCCATTTCAAACATGGCGAGTAAGGTATGTTTCCTATTTTGAGACTTGATATACCCGGACCGAACCTACCCGCGCTAGCTAAATGGAATTGACAATTCTTGAAAATTTATCAATTACCCTGACCGACCCGGGATCGTGTCCACCCCTATGTTGTATATTACACTACATTAAATACCTCCATAACAAAAAGATCATCCCACTTTTTTTCATCGATAACTAAATAATCTTCCCATTTCTAAATCTTCTTTTCATACATTCCTCAATCACGCTATTTCACTATCTTCTTATTATACTCTCAATAATTTATTCATTTTCATTATTCATAAACTATCTACTTTCAAAGTGGGAATTTTTTTTGTTACACAGGGAGTCCAATGTATTAACCCAGACGCATGCTTTTCATACTAACAGAGAGCCACATTCGGCTTTTGATCTGATCACCTTACAAGAACAATAAGCGAGCGCTTGCTATTGTTTCTAATTTAAAAAAGTGATTTTTTGAAGTTATTTTAGAAAAAATGCTTAATAGTAAAAGTTTGTAGTGTTTTATGAAAAAGTGCGTTTGAAAAAGTAAAAGTAGGTAGTGTTTGATAAAATAAATAATTTTTCTGTAATAGAATAGGTGAAAAACACTTTACGGCACCTCTCAACCTGCTTCTAGCTTTTAGCTTTTAGCTTTTAAGTGTTTAATTTAAGTAGAAGCTACCACTTGACAACAATCATTTCACCTTTTTTAAGCCAGAGCCTGAAACCCACTTTTTAAATGTAAGAAAATTGAGGTAACGAATAAATGCATTTTTGGGGTACCCATTCTTTGTTTCAACAATGACGGTAGACAGTTTGAGAACCGGTATTGCTAACCGGGTATTTTCTGGTTGGGTTAAATAAGACCGGATCCGGACGTTCTAAGCTTTCGAGGTGTATCTACATCAGTCTACAATATTTGGTACAAACTGAATAGAAAACAAGAATGGACTAGCAGTTCTAGTGGACCGAAAATCAAATTGGTATTAGCCGTTCCAACTAAGAACTCGTCTCGAAAAACTGAATTTAACTGAATTGGTTGAATTTTAAAGAAGAAATTCCACTTATGGTCCTTCGAGTTTTGCACTAATTCCACAATTAGTCATCGTCTTTCATTTTATCCATTTTTGGTACCTGATTATTGTTTTCTTGACCATTTATAGTCCTTTTCTGATAGTAAAAACTTTCAGAAATGGACCACAAATGGTCAAGAAAACAATAGTCAAGTACTAAAAATGGATAAAGTGAAAGATGAGGACTAAATATGGAAATGACACAAAACTCGGAGGACTTAAAGTGGAATTTCTTCAATTTTAAATGGGTGAAATTCTAATTGAAACTATTGAATTAGCTTAATTTTCTAAATTATTAGAAAATTATATTTAAAAGAAAAATTTGAAAATAATAATCCCAACTATTGTCGGTCCGCTAACAATAATCCCAACTATTGATTATTTTTGTATAATCCCAACTATATAGACCATCGCCAATAATGGTCTATGACTGCATATTACCTGCTCTAACAAGTGAATTTTTAATAGAAATTAAGCGTAAAAATTAAAATTCGGGATTATTTATAGGGATTACATGTTACATCTCTTTAGAAACTATAGGATTATTCTAAAATAATCGATAGTTGGGATTATTATGAGCGGATCACCAATAGTTGGGATTATTACAATCAATTTTTCCTATTTAAAATATATTCTATTAATAAAATAAGAAAAAACAATACCACACACGAAAAACTATCTAAATGGGCTTCTATAGTAAACTATACTACGTATGATAAACTAGATAAATGGTATTCGATAGTAAACTCAATTAGTTTTATCAGAAAAATAATTTCAACCTTACTTATTTTGATTATTATTCAATTCAATGTGTGCAATCAAAAGTTATGTGTTTGATAGAAAAAAAGTGTCAAATTAACTAAAATTTAGAGGTCTAAATTTCCTGCATTCAGGTAGGAGTGGACTCGGGCCAGGCCAACCGGCCCGGAACCGGACCGGCCCGCTACTGTGTGGGCCCGGCCCGCTACTGTGTGGGCCCGGCCCGCTACTGTGTGGGCCCGGCCCGGCCCGGTGAACCAGTTGGTTGCCCGGTTCGGGCTACCCGGCCCGGTTCGGGCCACCCGGACCGGTGGTATGGCGGTTCGGGCTCGGGTCCTTCAAAAGGTGAACCGGCCTGGCCGGTTCGGGGCCGGGCCGGGCCAATTTATTATTTTTATTTTTTTTTTTTGAATTTTTTTTAAGTTTTTGGGTTGGACTGGGTATTTTGGGCTATTTGAGGTGATTAGGGTTGGTTTGGGGTGAGGGGGAGGGTTGGGGGTTAACTAGGAAAAGCCAAAAAAAAAAAAATTAGAACCGAGGCCCAGCCCGGCCCGGACCCGGGGGTTACCTGAGCCGGTTCCGGGCCTCCCCTTCATGAACCGAGGCCCGGCCAGGCCTAGGCCCGAACCGGACCCGAACTAGTCCACCCCTACATTCAGGGGTGGAGATGGACATGACCCTAGTTCCAAACACGAACTCGATGGTTTTTTAATTTAATTAAAACCAAATTCGTTGCATAGTCTTGAACTGGCACCATAAACCTGTGTATATCAACTGATTTTTACCGTTCAAAATGGGGCCAGGCCAGCTGCATGTTTGTGTGGGATACCGGTTTATGAAGGTTATAAAATCAGGTGGAAAACGAATTGATATCATATAGATTTACAGAGATTTAGAGCACTGATTATAGAAAAAAGACATTAGCCAATTCATGAATTTAGAAGCAGGCAAGTAGCCCAATGGCTCATCTGCATGTTAGCATGATATTGCAAATTGCTTACCAAGTGCATGACTGATATCCAGGAAAGTGGTTCATAATATCTGAAGGGAAGATTGGAATGTTACATAAAAGTCTTTAACAGTGAAGATCAAAGAATGCCATGCAGCAGAGAACGCGTGTAGAAACATCTCAGTTTCTCCTTGGTATTTGAATAACTTGCATTGATTTCCTCCATCTGAACATGTGCAGTGCCAACATCATCTTCAAGCTTCTTGAGTCTCTCTTGGAGTATTCGGCATCTCTCCATGCAAGCTTCATATTCCTCTTTGGTGTCCGCCCATGTTTTCTTCGTTTCTTCAATCCCTTGGAGAGTCTTGGTCCTTGATTCCACTAGGCTGGGGAAACCTTTCTTGAACTCTTTTGCTTCAAAAGTTTCCTTCAACCGGCCATGAAGCCATCCGATGTCTACCTTGACAGGTTCAAGATCATTACCAACATTGAGCATGGATTGAAGCTCCTGACACGTCAGATCTGGAAATTTTGTTGACCTCAATCTTTGACAAATGTTGCAAACCGTCTCCAGCACCGAAGAACGATACTCAACTGATTTGAATATGCTTTCTTTCACAATATCACCATATCTCGTAAAGATTTGCTTGGCAAGAGGTGCAATTTCCACCCTCACTTTATATCCACCAACATTTTCTGTCAAAGAATTTTGGGTTGAGATTGCATCGTCCATATCATCATCAGCTCCGGCAAGCAGTATCTCTGTGAGGTGAAGAGTTTCAGATCGGGTTGGATGAACAGTAGCAGAAGCAGTAGCTCTCTCGTCAGTGTTGGGTTTTTGTTCACTGGCAGTAGAATTACTTGTTGGATGATTCACTTCATAGGCATTTGCAAATTCACTAGGCATGTTGGAGGCATTCACATATTCTATAGCCAGCAGGCCCTGGGCATTCTTGAAAAACCGAAATTTGAATGTTGGAAAAGAATACCTTCCATACGTCCCAATTTGACTTTTTTAAGTCATCATCCACTCACTTTGACCACTAATTTTCATTAATCTTTCTTCCTCGCCATCCTCACTTCATAACTTTGATAATTAATATACTTGACTAAAAAGATGATATTTTGGAAATTTACATTGATACAGATTTAGTAATACTATTTCTTAATATCATTTCTCAATGAATTAAAAAGTACTCCTTAATATACTATAAAAATCATGCGAACATTGCAAAAAAACAATTTTTGCCATTAATAAAAATGGAGGTAGTATTATTTTAGAATATAAGTGTTTCGGACCAAATATTATTGATATAAACTATTAAATACCCACTCTGGCCCAATTTATGTGTATATCCTATTTTAGATTACAAAATTAGAATGCAGTTATAATAAATGTATTGTTATCAATAATTAAAATTTAAATATTAAGAAAATACAATAAAAGAGTCCTTACTGTCTGGCCGTCGCCATTTGGGGAGATTCCCGATGGAATTTTTTATGATAGTTTTTGAGCATCTTATTCATTAAGTCTAGTTTACTCATACCAAATTTCAGCTAAAACTTCAATTGGGAAGACATTCAAATGAATTCTTGAAGGTAACTGCGCAGTTATCTTAAAGACTTCGTTTGAATGCCTTCTCGATTGAAGTTTTAGGTGAAATTTGGTATGAGTAAACTAGACTTAATGAATAAGATGCTCAAAAAATTTCATCAAAAAATTCCACCGGGAACCGCCCCGAAAGGCAACGGCCAGACAGAGTCTCTTATATATAGACTTATTTGATCCTTTTTTACCAACTTCGAGGATCAATCTGACCCTTATCTCTAGAATAAAAGTTCTATTGAGTCGCAAACATGCCAACAATTTTGATGCAAAAAGTTAGAGAATACAAAAAGGGAAGCTCAATGCACATTGGCATCCCTCCAAGGCGAGAGTCCAGGAAAGGGTCCCAACAAGGGTGTATAAGAGGCAAGCCTTCTCATGTCATTTTGACAAGAGGCAGCTCTCAAGAAGAGTTAAATTTGTGACCTCTTGGTCACACGACAACACCGTGACCGGTGCCTCAAGCCTCCTTTTAGAAAATTAGACATTAAAAAAAAGTAAATAGTGATCAAACAGAAGACACAGGATATTCAAAATGGGGTCCCTATATTCGAACAAGAGGTAGTTTTATGTATCATATAGAACATTTCATAGTATTACAACACTATCCCACTAAAGGCAAAACAAAGTAGCAAGCTTGATTGCAGTACCTGAGAAGGCAATCCAGTTACTTGTGCTCAGTGGCGGACCCACTAAGGGTCCCACGGGTCCCGGGACCCCATGGACCTACAAAAAATACCTATATATATTTGTATATATTTTACATAAAATTAAGTAATCAGTGTATTTATACAATTGAAACTAATTTAAATCACAAATATGGAGCTAGAGCAACGGTTGGACACCCAATCTTGAGGCTCTATATGTGCGGGAGGTTGAGGGATCGATTCCTTTGGGAGTCCACTTTTTTGAAAATAAAATTATGGAACAACTTAGGGCACCTATTGTTATCATGCACCTCTATAGCCCAACTTTTAATCTAAATCTAATTTTCTCAACCTATACCCAATTCTTTTCATAACAAATACTATTATAAAGCCAGTATGTATCCCCAAATTTGAGCTTATTTGTTTTATAAACTAATTTCATCATTAAACACGTAATTTTTGAATTCACGCACTGAATTTGTAATAATTAAAATATTATGGAACAACTTGAGGCACCTATTGTTATCATGCACCTCTATAGCCCAACTTTTAATCTAAATCTAATTTTCTCAACCTATACCAAATTTTCATATACTTTACTTTGACTACATTTTATTTATTAATGTATGTGAATTATTTTTGAAAAATATTGTTAAATCCGGGTCATTATTAAGTCTTATAATATGATTTTTATTTTATTTTTACTAATACAGAATTAAATATAATGACAGTCAAAGTTGTGCGTTGGCAAACGTGAAATGTTGGTTGTTGCAACTAAAAAGAGACGGATGAAGTATAATTTAAATATCATTATTTCATAATATAGCAGTTTCAGTCGCTTGAGCCATTATCGCATAGTTTGGCTTGATGTGATTTGATCTAAGACTTAAATCAGCCCAACAACAAAGTCCTTAAAGTTACACAAATAAATTGGTAATTGTATTAAATTAAAATAGAAACAAAGCTAACGAATATATTTTAAATAAAAATCCAAATAAAATAATGCGAAGTAATTGGATCGAAATTTTCAAATGTAGGCTTTTTAAATTTGATTTCTCATATGCATGCCCATTATTTTTAGTTGATAGAGGACATTAACTTTATAAAATTTAAGTGCCCGTTTAGTGACTCTGTTTTCGGCTTATCAGGCTTATCAACCAACTTTTTAACCAAACATGTAACTTTTGATTTTACGCGCTGAATTATGTAATAATACGAAAAATAAGGTTGTAGTTACTTTTGAGGCTGTATTGACTGCAGTTGTTGTAGATGACCATTTTATCTATTTTTCATATCATTTCTTCTTTATTTTATTAAAATAATATATTTTAAATATAATTTTTCATAATCAGCAGAAACAGTCAATACAACCACTTCAGTCAGAACTTTATAAATTTCAGCAGAATCAGCCGATTCAGACAATTTTAGTGTTACCAAACGGGCTCTAGTTGATAGTAGACATTTCTTTAAAATTGTTGTATACGTTATGTTATCTACGATATGTTATGCTATTTTTACTATTTTACTTCTTCTTTTTATTAATTTTTTATTAATTAGTTACATTACAGTAGGGACCCCGTGATTCTGAGTTTCTGGGTCCGCCACTGCTTGTGCTGCACTTCATTCGGGATTAATAGGACCAGCCTGGTTGGAGATGGAACATGAAGGTGTCCAGGGAGAACTTCCAGGACTGGATTTAAAAAATAATTCCCTTGCCCTTCGAGTTCTATATGTATGAGTGATAGTTTGAGTAGCCAGTGCCCAGTGGTGCATAGCCCTATGATATACTTCCTGATAATGATGGAAGTATTACATATCAATTAGAAATGCTTCTGGGCAGGGAATTATATGAACAAAGGATCTGCTAAAGAAGCTGCTATTAGTTAAGCCCCAAAATGGATGCATAAAAACCATGATTCCCTTCACTTCAAAGTAGACATGAAAGGATGGGGATGACTATGAATAACACTGATATACAACTAGAAAACCACTTCCAAACACATATTAACATTTTCATTTCAGACTGATTTCTGAACTCTATTTGCTTAAATTAGGGTTCTCAAATTCAACCAGAGAGTGCGGGCCGCCCAACACTTCTCAAGCTCATTTTGTTGATACATAAAAAGGGAAAGAGGGAGTTACCGGAGAAGGAGGCGGCGATGGTGATGGTGTTTCCTCTTTCTTAATCGGGTCCTCCTCCTCTTCATTGCCTTGAACACCACCGATCATGGACGGTTGTCCACGTCTCTGTCTGGTGCTTCTTGGCCTCCTTGTCGACAGTTTGGCTTTCTTCATCCTCTCTGAAAGTTCGATATTTTCTCACACATGAGAAGAAATGGCTTACTCCTCTCTCTGCCCCATATGATAGAGCACAGAAACGGAAATTGTATTGCAGGTAGCTAACCATCGGTCCGTTTGAAGTTGCTCAAAAGCGTGCTACTAGACAGCTACTCTCTACAGCTACAATGACGTGCTTTCCCATTTCGAGAACCAAATACAGAAAAATTTTCAGTCACATTTCTACCATTTCTGGTTTCGAGGAGAAAAGGATGACACCCATCCCTCCCCTGACCCCGATGGAACGACAGGAGGGTAAGTTCGAGGGATGTAAATTGGACGAGAATGAGACTTGTTCGGGTACTTGCAGGCCCTCATATTTAAAGTAACCTATTCATTTTTTTTGTCTCGAGGAGAAAGAAATGCATTTCCCTTAACGCACTCAATTCTACCAACGTTCAAATTCTTTAACCCTTAGAGAGTTTTCTCCTTACTTTCTAGCTGTATTGGTTGAAGTTATTGTAGATGACCATTTTAGCTACTTTTTCATATAATTTTTTCTGTATTCTATTAATAAGATATATTTTAAATATAATTTTTTCATAAATCAGCAGAATCAGCCAATACAGCTATTCAGCCAAAACTTGATAAATTTCAGCAGAATCCGTCGATTCAACCGATTTTAGTGTTACCAAACGGACTCTGAATTGTAAGTTTAATAATGACTAACTTTTTTATTCCAGAAGGCAAACCACAAACAATGTTGGATCCATTTAATAAATTTTAGTCTCTATTAAATAATAGGGGTGGGAGTGCTCTAGAAGGGTTCAGTACAATGCCAAATACATGCTAAAACATTTTAACAAATATTGCAATATTGTTTTTCGGGTGGTTCTTACTTGATTGTTTTAACCTTCTAATGAGAGCACCAAATGATAGATAGTCAATATCGACATACCAACTAGTGGTATCAAGAGAGAGGACAGAGCAAATAAATAGGAGAGAGAGAGTAATATATTAAATGAACAGTGGTCTGTTACAACTGTCAAAGGGCTGCTATTTATACTAGTCATAAATGATATGTGCATTAAATGCACATACACGTGTAAACTAATCTATGAAGGAGACACCTCCTTGTGGTGCGGATGCTGCACGTGGCGCTGCATTAAATGCAGTGATTGGTTATTGTGGAACTCTTGACGGAGTGGGACGTCCGTTCGAGGCCAAGGGTTTATCCGAGGGCTTGCTTGAGGAAGGGAATGTTCCAGACCTGTCATTGAGCCCGAAGGGTGATTCTCTGAGTTTGGCGCCTTTGGGCTTGGGCCCAAAGGGTGTTCCTTGTAAGGGATGGACTGTTTTATACATGGGCCGTTGTATTTGGGCCACTTGTAACTGTTGGGCCTGTTTACTGTAGCAGGAGTATATGGACCGCAGGGACCAGAGCCATATACTCTATCATATTTGATTCGGTTTCATAAAAATAGTAGTCCATCTCATCTTCTTATATTTATTCTTTAAATAGAATGTAAAGGGAAATCCAAGATACAAAAAGAAATAATAAAATATTACTTCATATAAATTAACAACTAATTTATCTTACTAAGACTATGACATGAAAACATCTAGCATCTTTTCAATCACGAGAAAAAAGATTCACCTCTCACATAAAAAATAGTTTATAGTTCATTGGCATTTATAATATCGCATACAATATTCAAAGAAAACTAAATGAGTCGGCGGTAAAGTTGTAAAATTAGCAATTTATTCAAATTAAGCATGTGAAATGTATAATGTACTCTAGTTTAACTGAAATTAATATAAATGCAATTTGTTATTGTTATCGCCAAACACCCATTCATATAAATAGAGTACAAAGTACGACAAATACAAGTATGTCTTATTAGCCAACTTTATCATAATGCATGCATAAAATGTGCAAAAATTAAAATGGTATATGCTAAACATGTATTTTTCATATCTAAATTGTTTCTTATATCCTAAAGACGAAGAATGAAGAGAAATACAAAGTTTTTTTATAAATACTACTCCCTTTGTTCCTAAACTTCCAACTTTCCTTTTTCGTCCGTTCCAATTAAAACTTCCGCTTTCCCTTTTTAGTAAAGAATTTGTGGTTCACAACATTTCTTACGCATTTCTCTCTCATCTGCACAACTCTCCATCACACAATACCCACTATCTTAAATTGTGTGTCAAACCTATTTGGAAGTTTTAATAGGAACGGAGGGTGTACAAGTTGTTCTGTGTTCAATTCGGTTTATGGTTTTCCGATTTAAAACCGAACCAAACCATTTTGTTTTAGCAAATTGTTACCAACTGGTACTTTTCTTAAGTAAACGCAAACCAAACCAAATTACAATTTTCGGTTTGATTCAGTTTGGTTCAGTAAAACCAAATCATTTTGCCTAAGCCTAGAATTAGGTGAGAGAATAAGAAAACAAAATCATTCCGGTGGACTTTGCCAACTTTGAATTAGGTGAGAAATAAGAAAATTAATTGTTTTGCAGTTGAGATTTGTACAGATGAGACAGAAAAGATGAGAACCACAAATTTTTCACTTTAATTAGAAATTGGCAAAGTTTTTTGGACCATGAAAAAAGAAAAGTTGACAAAATTCAATTGGCCAGAGGGAGTGATAAATCCATTATATCCGACATTGCTAACTTTATCTTGAGTTTGAAATAAGAAAAATAAAAATTGCATTGTTGAAGTTTGTGTAGAGATGAAAGAAATAAGTTGAACCACAAATTTATTACGTAGTACTTCAAGTGCAAAGTGTCAAAAAAATTGGAATAAACAAAAAATGAAAGTTAGCAAAATCTAATAAGAAAGAGCGAGTAATACTTGTAGTCTGAAATATTATATTGTTTGTACTCTTATTTAGAGAAATTTCTCTTATTAAATATACATCTTGATTTACGTCATTTAAAAAGGGAATGGGGTCGAATAAACATTTTTAACATGCTGTAGATTAAGCCATTTTAACATGCTGTAGCAAGTTATTTAAAAAAAGGGAGAACTATCAAATAAGTCCTCGAACTTTCATAAAAATTGCAAATAAGCCCTTTTATAGGAGGTTTTGTCCGGTCGTCGCCATTTGGAGCAGTTTCCGGTGGAATTTTTTGATGAAATTGTTTTAACATCTTTTTCATTAAGTCTAGTTTACGCATACCAAATTTCAGATAAAAATTCAATCCGGAAGGCAGTAAAATGAATTTTTTAAGATAAGTGCACAGTTAGGCAGCGCAATATATTTCATAAAATCATTTGACTACCTTCTCGATTGAATTTTTAGCTGAAATTCGATATACATAAACTAGACTTAATGAAGAAGATGATCAAAAACTTTCATCAAAATCTTCCACCGGAAACTGCCTCAAATGGCGATATCATGACAAAGCCTCCTATAAAATGGCTTATTTGCACTTTTTATGAAAGTTCGAGGGCTTATTTAATAGTTGTCCCTTTAAAAAAATAAACAAGTTGATTAATTCTACAAAAATCCATATGAACTTATAAAATGATGTAACGATACAAAATATAGTATAAGTTCAAAAATAGATAAAATATTTTAACTCGTTACAATAGAAAAATTATAAAAGTGAAAAGATAAAGCGAAAGTGTAAAAACATAAAATTATAATGCAATACCTGTTAAGTAGTTGTAGAGTATACAGAATTACAAATAATTCCAAAAATGCTAAATATAGACATTGACATTCTTAAATTGACAACACTTTTATTGATATTTCTTTGAATTTTAACAAACTTTTGATTGATTGATTTTTTAAAGTAGGTATACTTATATGATATATTTTTAACATAGAAGTTTAATAATTGATTAGGAATAGTAGAAAGATATATTTAACATTTTTTCCATTTGTAAATACATCATACTTCAATTTCTTGAATTATTCCAATAATGTTTTAACTTTATATGAACTTAACAAAATGGAGAATATGTGATTGGTATATGTTTGGAGGAGAAAAATAATAGCAATAATATTATTACTTCCTTAAAATAAAAATAAATGAGAATAATAATTTGGGGTTAATGATGAATGCAAAAGGAAAAAAGAAGCAAAGATTAAAAAAAGGCTAATCTTTTCTTTGAAAAACTATCAAGAAGTTGCTTAACATAAAAAATAAAACTTGGACAAAATTCAAAAAAAAAATGATTAGATATAAATTTCCCTAAAACATAGGGAGTAGAATAAGGTTTAATAAAATCTATAGATACCGATAAATGCTATTTTGGGAAGAAATGAGAAAATTCCTTAAATAGGATTAAATCACTACAAAAGTGCACAAATATGATCATTGTTTTTCCCTGAAATACGACTTATGCACTCCTAATAAGATCGTATGGGTCATGTTTTTGGAGCAGAACATCATTTTTAGTTTGTTTGTTTTTAAACCTATTTAAAGTAATTTGTCAAAACTAATTCTCGAGTCATGAAATATTGAAATGAAAAAAGATGGAAAGCAAATTTAGATATATTTTGTAACATAATTGTCCCACAACAACAATATCGATGCCTTATTCCCAAAAGATTTTGAGATCGTCGACATGAATTGATCCATGATATCAGGGCTAAATAGAAAAAGATAAGAATAATAAAAAAAACTACAACGAATGAATAAGATAAAGATAAATAATACGTATAAGATACTAACTTCGTCCCAATTTGATGGGCCCAGATTCTATTCATTTGGTCAACATAAATCACTCTTAATCTCTTACTTTTTTATATCAAACTTTTATCAAGTTTGATTTTTTCTTTTGCGATTTCGTAAAACTTTTAATGTAGTTTCTGAATATTTAAATTTTATTTGCTACAAATAATTTAAGTACGGACAGAGATCAATTTACTTTATGGTCTTCAACTATATAGTAAACCGCAACGAATGAAAACATTGTGCAGATGTAGAGTTACCATGATTGTATCTCCAAAATGTGATACGTACACAGTTTTGCTTCTCAAATTGGCCAGGAAAAACAATTTACTTAAAGGCGAATACAATGTTGTCCTCTTTCATCATTATTATCGACAATCCGAATTTCACAAATCACATTTCTAGCTTTAGTCTGCTCTGTTTGCTGGAAATGGATCTGATTCCGGGTCTTCCCAATGAAGTTGGACTTGAATGTCTGAATAGGGTTCCGTTTGATCAGTTCCCAGTTGCTACATCCGTGTGTAGAAAATGGAAGGACGAGATTATGAAGGCAGAATTCAGGAACCGCCGGAAAGCTTCGGGTCGGACCCGACCTGTCATTGCCATGGCCCAAGCGATGGTTGTTGGTTCAAGTAGCAGGCTTTCTCCTCCGGTTTGCCGGCTAACGCTTTTGGATCCCGTCAAAGGGTGTTGGTACGATCTGCCGCCGATACCGGAGATGGCGGAAGGGCTGCCGGTGTTCAGCCGAGTTGTCGGGGTCGGGCCGGAGCTCGCGGTGATGGGCGGGTGCGACCCGGAGAGTTTCCGGGTCCTGAATTCAGTTTTCATCTACAGCTTCTTAACAGGGACCTGGCGGCGCGGAAAGGATATGCCGGGCGAGCAACGGCTATTCTTCGGGTGCGCGGCGTCGGAGAGGGATGGTGTGATGGTTGTCGCCGGCGGGCACGACGACGGCAAGAACGCCTTAAAATCAACTCTGTCGTATGACGTGGCGTCCGATGTGTGGACGCCGTTGCCGGAAATGTCAAGCGGCCGCGACGAATGCGCGTGCTTCTTTTACCGGGGAAAGTGTCACGTCACTGGTGGGTACCACGTGGAGACACAAGGACAGTTCGAACGGACCGTGGAGACGTTAGACGCCGTCGCCGGCCATTGGTGCGCAAATGACGGAATGGCAGATGCGGCGAAAAGTACGTTTCCTTCCGTAGGTTTTGTGGAGATTGGCGGGAGAATATACACGAGCCGGGATGGTGACGTGGTGGCTTTTGATGACGCGACGAGCCAAGTCATCGGGAGGGTCCCGCGTGAAGTTTCTAACGTGTCGTTTGTGACAGGGTGGCATGGGCAGCTGATGGTGACTGGAAATGCGAAGTACGGGGAACCTCAAAAGGCTTATGTGTATGAGCTGAAAAGCGGGCTATGGAGCCAAATAGAAGTCCCCAATGAGTACTCCGGTCATATTCAGTCAGCCTTTTGTCTTGAACTCTAAATTTTAATGCTTTCGTTATTACGGAGTATATTATAAGCCCGTTTTGTAGCATGAAAATCGTTTCATTATGAAATTTATAAAATTTTAATTGAAAGAGTTGCATTGGCTGATTATGTTGATTTAAGAAAAAATATTTTTAAAATATATGTTATTACTCCCTCCGTCCCAATTTGATTTGCAAAATTTCCTTTTTTGGTTGTCCCAAAATGGTTTTCCACTTTCTATTTTAGATATGTAAATAAGAATAAAGTGACATATTCACCCTTACTTTTACTTTTTCTCAATTAACTTAAAGTCATTTACTTTTAGAAAGATGGGCAAAAGTGTAAAAAGCAAGCATCATTTATTGTCATTTCTTAATTCTTGTGCTAGTCAATGTTTGCAATTCAATTCGGGACGGAGGGAGTAGTAAAATAAAATAAAAAACTTATATGTAAAAATAGTTAAAATGGTCATCTACAGTAACTTCAACCAATACAACCAGAAAAGTAACTTCATTCTTACTTTTTATGCTTATTACACAATTCAGCGCACGAAAGTAAAAGTTACATGTTAGGTGAAAAAGTTGGCCGATAAGCCAAAAAAGAGTGTTGTCAAACGGCTTCTATGTCATGGCATATTATTTTTTTATGATAGCATATGATTTAATGATTTATGCATAACTCATCAGTCATCCCACAAAAGGTTATTGACGTGAAGAAAAAAATAAACATCGAGGACAAGAAAAAGGGAAATAATATGAGTAAAATGTTGTCATTTTCTTAAAAATTAAACAGGATCCTCTATTTTAAAATGCCATTAATAGAACATTTTATTTTTGATTGGACAAAAATAGCTTCACCTCGAGCACCGCTACCCCCAAGTTACCGGAACATTACTTGCCACTCTTCGTCGGAACCTGCCACCGCATCCAAGTTGTCATCACCACTAGACTGACTTTGGTTATGCAAGAGAAATAGGTAGATAATTAATTATATTGATTAATTAGTTAATTAAAATATGGTTAAAAAGGTAATGTTTAGTCTTATTTAAGAATGACAAGAAATATGGTCTTAGTTTTCGAAAAATTCTACTACATCCGTCTTACTAACATTGGAATATGAGAGAGTAACACGATTATTCAAAAAAATGTGTTTATGTGGTTGATTTTGAATTGAAAATAAGAATAAAGTAAAATGGATTTCGACTCACACAAACTTTATGAAATTTGGTATGAGACAATGATTTCATGAAAGCAAAAAAGGAACAATCTTATCGGGACATAAGTATAATGTAGTCCTACAATTAGCAATTATCTTTAAAATTGATTGATTATATTACTGAAATATACAATTTTGGGATTATATTAAAAGACAACAATAAATTTGAAATCATGTACAATTTTGATGTGAATAATTGTATATTACAAAATAAAATGACTTTAAAAAGAAGTAGTTTTTCAAAAAGTTTTGTATGACTAATATTCATTTACCTTTTAATATCAATTTAAGTACAATTCAATTTCAATTCAGAAATACTCTACTATGTTAGTACTACAGTAGATTATAACTTTAATACTTTTTGGTGGAGTATTATGTAAGTATAAATATAAATAGATCACATCAGAATAGACTCAATGATATGTTACCATCTTTGGTTGTTATTAGGGGTGGACTCGGGTCCGGGCCGGGTCCGAGTCGGGCCTAGGCCCGGGCGGGGCGGCAGTTCAGAAATGGTGGACCCGGGACCGGCCCGGGTAACCACCGGGTCCGGTCCGGGTCCGGGCCGGGCCCATTATAATTTTTTTTGTTTTCCTCTTCCTAATTAACCCCCCTCCCACCCCCAACCCGAAAATTTAAAAAAAAAATTGAAAAAAAATAGGTTTTGGCCCGAACAGGGCCCGGGCCCGGCCGGGTCGGGCCTTGTTTTGGGTGACCAGAGCCCGGACCGGAAAACCCACGGGCCGGGCCTACCCGGACCGGTCACTGACCGGGCCACCGGGTCGGGCCGGGCCGGAACAGTACCGGTCCCGGTCCGGTTCCGGGTCGAGCCACCCGGCTTGAGTCCACCCCCTAGTTGTTATTATGAGGGGTGGGCATGAAAAATAGTAACGATTGGCGATTGATCGTATTAAAGAACTCAAAAACGTGTAATTTTCGGCTAACCATACCAAGTTTTTAAAAATTCTTGGAACGGTTAACCAACCGAATAAAAAAATGATACTCCTTTCGTCCCTTAAAACTTTGCCAACTTTCCTTTTTTGGATGTCCCACTTACTTTGACACTTTCCCTTTTAAGTAAAGAATTTGTGGTTCCAGTTAATTCTCTCTCCTCTGCACAAACCTCAATCACACAGTTTTTACTTTATTAATCTTCGTGTCGATCAAACTTGACAAAGTTTTAAGGGACGGAGAGAGTACATGATACATTTACAGTTTACCACTTCTAGACTAATGGTCTTGTACCTGGAAGTACATGTCTCTTAATGGTAGAGAGTAACCAGAAACGATTATAGCTTATGGTCCCAGCAAAAAGTGCTAGTTAGTTAGGAATGAAGCCATATTATTATTATTACTGCCTCCCTCCCAAAATGATTAGTTGTTCCCAAAACTTTGACTAATAATATATATGTATTGAAAATTATTTATAATATAACAATAATATGAAAATGTTCTTTATTAAAAGTGATTTTATAAGAATATATACAATCTATAATGTTCATAATATTATACATACTAATCAAAACCATGATGTAAATTGGCTAAACATTTTGAGACGGGTAGTATTTTAGTTTGTCATATACTCATACGGCACAAATGCACAATCATGCAACACTTGGGAGTTGGGAGTGTCGAACTATACGGAGTGTTTCGTGTTTAACCCTACTCCAGTGCACAAACATATTTTAGTGAGGCATGTTTCAGTTTAACCCTACTCCAGTGCAGAACTATACGGAGTGTCCGACTCTCACGAGATAGATTGAAATTATTGGGAGTAAATTGAACTGTAGCTGCTTAATTGTACGAGACGCATTTGTGCATTAACCAATTAATGGTTAACCTATATTATGATTATATAGTACCTCCGTCCCGCTATAATTGTCCCATTTTACCTTATCGGTTTGTCCCACTAAGATTGTCTCGTACCAAATTTGTAACTGGTTAACCGATGTTATGGTACGATTAATGATATTAACCGAAATCACAGTTAATCAAAAATTGGTTAAATGAAATGTGGTTAACCAACCATGTCCACCCCTTTATAATTACCTTACTATTACAAATACATTACAAAGTATAATTACTAAATTATAGTCTGAGACCAGCAGCAGCGGTGGAGTTTCAACGACCAGCAAGCAATCCGGTGGCAGTGTTCTAACGTAGGGATGGACTAAACCGGGCCAGGCTCGGGCCGGGCTCGGGCCAACCTTTTGGTGAACCGGCCCGGGCGGTTCGGGCCGGGCCCGGTTCAATTTTTTTTTTTTTGGTTTTTCAGGGTTGGGTGTTTTGGGGGGGGGGGGGGGGGGGGGGTTGGGGGTGGGGGTGAAGGGGGGGGGGGTCGGGAGTTAATTAGAAACCAAAAAAAATTGAACTTGACCCGGGCCCGGCCCGACCCGGCCCAGTTAGGCCCGGACTCGGTATCAACCCGGGCCGGTTCCGAGCCCAACATTTTGCAAAAAAAGCCCACCCAGGCCCGGCCCGGGTCCATCCCTATTCTAACGGAAGCAGCTACCAGAGGCGGAGTTCTAGCAACGGCACATAGGGGTGGACTGGGCAGCTGGGCCAGTTCGGACCGGCCCGAAACCCGGCCCAGCCTGCCACTGTGCTGCACCGGTCCGACTAACCGAGACCGAGTCCTGGCCTTAGGGCCCAAACCGGGGTTAGGGTAGGCATGGACCGGTTCCGGTTCGGGCCCAGTTCGGGCCTGGGCCGGGCCTCAATACTTTTTTTTTTGGCTTTTCCTAGTTAACCCCCAACCCTCCCCCTCACCCTCAAACTAACCCTAACCACCTCAAATGGCCCAAAATACCCAGCCCAACCCAAAAACTTAAAAAAAAATCAAAAAAAAATTGACCCGGCCCGGGTCCGAACCGGCCGGGCCAATTCACCTTTTGAAGGGCCCGAGCCCGAACCGCCATCCCACCGGGCCAATTGGCCTAAACCGGGCCCGGAATCGGTTCACCGGGCCAGACCCGCACAGTAGCGGGCCGGTCCAGTTCCGAGCCGGTTGGCCCGGCCCGAGTCCACCCCTAGGTTAGGGGGCAGGCTACAGGACAGCCATGTGGTGGACCGGTTTGGGACCAGTCCGGGCCTTTTTTACTTTTTTTATTTTATCATTTTAAACAAATTAAAAAAAACTGACCTGACCCAGGGCCGGACCAGCCCAGTCCCGGGGTTCCAACCCGGGCCGGTACAAGGCCTTCTTCAGTTCCTCCCAAAACCCAATCCCGCCCAAATCCCGGCCCAGGGCTCAGCCCAACCCAAGCCCGGCTCATCCCTAGCGGCACTGACAGTCAGAGGTCTGGCAACAATATGGTGGCAGATATTCTTTTCCCAGCATGGAAAAACTTTAAATTAGGAAATTTTTAACATTCATTCCTTTTTTTCCAACATGTTTTACTTGTATTGAGTATTGACTGACAATTGAGGGAATTATCTCTATTGAGTTCCGTCTCAAGTCTCAACACGTACACTATTTCTTCCCACATCTAATAAGAATCATCTTGTCCGATTCATTGTAATACATCGGACACCCTTGAACCTAACGCTCAAAATTTATTTTTTAAAAATAACTACATATTGCATCACGAGGAGTTAAGAGACCCGTATTACAAATAATAAATCGTTGGAACACAAATTATACGCAAAACAGGGACATTATGTTTACGGGTAACTCAAGCTAGGATATACCATACTTTAAATAAAAAGTGAACTGCTAAACTAGTAACTCAAGCTCAGTAGGTGTGTGTACTCTTAGGTTTTACAAAATCACAACACAAACAGAGATCAAGAGGTGTGTTTGGTTTCAAGATTGCACTTTAACACAACTTTTGCGCCCACAGCCTGGTCACAAACAGCAAACGAAAAGCCATAATGATGAGCAAGAGGAATACAGTTACAGAACTTTGGTAGTTTGAATTTAAGGAAAGCTTCGATGGAAATTTTAATTAATATTAGATAATATTTATTTAAAAAAATACATCTTTGAAATTTAACAGAGATCAGCATAGTGATGATATCACAAATATTACAGATATAGTTTTCCATGCTTCTTGATATTTCCTGAATATATCTTTTTGTTATTCAAAAAATAGAAACTAATAAACTCAATTTTCCCCATCATCTCGGAATATCTCCACCTAACCGCAATCTAAAGAATCCCACATTTGCACCTATTTTATTTCGCTCGTCTCTGACCAATTGATGATGTGTTGTTCCAGTTTTTTATTTTTCATTAGAAAACATTAAACAAAAAAGACCACCTTTCACTTATTTCTAAATACAGTCTCATATATCACTATTTCTCTTTTCTCCCATATTAAACGATTATCAAGTCTTTATTTTTTATCCTCTTGACTGTTTTCCCCTTTTCATCTTCTTGTTGTTATTATTTGTTTTAAATGTTTTTTTTAAAAAACATTTGTTTTAAATGTTTATGCATCCCATTTTCCGCTCTATTAAGAGATTTTTTTTTTTTTTGTAAAATTTATGCTTTCGATAGTTTTTTACCTTTTTTCTTATTTTTTATTTCTTTTCCCTTTTTATGCATTTGTCTTCAAGTTAATCCCGATTCATAAAAGATGTTTTCCCACCCTACTCGTATTTCCTATTTACATCCACTTGTTCTTTCTTCCTATATTCTTTGTACCTTAATTTCATCAGTAATACGATAGTATATTTTACCCTCTTTTGCATCATCATATTTTTCTCAGAGTCCATTAATTCCATCAACTATCGGGAAAACTATTCAGATACAAAACTAGGGAAGAAGGAAAATTTGACATGTATCATTTACACAAAATGGTATAGAGGGGAGGGGTTAGCTGAAAAGAGAAAAAAAATGGTGAAAATGGAAGGAAAAAAAGACTTCTAATATGATGGAAAAAGAAGCAAAAAAAGACTTCTAATAAGACGAAAAGGGAAGAAAAAGGAAAAGGGGAAATGAAAAAGAAAATAAGACTTGAAAGAAAAAAATAAAACAAAGAAAAAGTAAAGACGCAGAAAAACGTCTTTTATAAAAAGAAAATGTAATCAAATAGGTAGACATTAAAAGGAAAGAAAATAAAAATTGGGAAGAAGAAAGGAAAAAAGCTATTAAGATGAAAATCTTTAAAAAAATATTTTCTGATAGGTCAAAAAGAGGGACATAAACAATGTAAAGAGGATAATAACAAAGATACAGTGAAAAAATAATACAGGGACTATTTTGAGAAAATTGGTGAAAGTGAGACTTTATTTAATATTTTCCTTAAAAAACAAAACACAAAATAGTAAGTCATGGACTACGCTAAGAAGACCTGGGATATTTAATCCCGATTTCACCTGTTTCATTTATTTCTCAAGTTCTAGAGAAAATCAATTACCCACGTATTGATGTTAGAGCCCTCAAAAATACAGAAATTTTGATAGAAACATTGGGAATGTTTAGCTTGGCTATTTCAGCTTATCACTAGTTTCAAATGGGATCCGTCAAATCTAGGCTCACATTGAAAGAAACATGAAAGCCTACTATTGGTTTAGTTTAGGTTAAAAGCAGAGACATCATTACAACAAACACGTTCAGCCAGCAGTTGTAACACATTTACACACATCAACGAAAAACTTAATTTATGAATTTTACATACAGCAATAAGCTGAAGTCTTGACTAGAACACCACTGACAGTGGTAAAAGCGCTATAGGTAGAAAATTGTTAGAAAAAGGTTAGGAAAATGGGAATATTTGATATGAAAAAGCATTGTGTAATTGTAATGTAATCAACCTTATTAGAGCTTTCTCGGAATCAATTCCCCAGCCCTCTCTCTACCCATACCATTAATCAAATTTGAATTGAAATTTGATTAACACTAAAATATAGGTCAAATAGTACAATAAATTGATAAAAAGTTAACAAAGAAATTACCACAGACCTAAAAGAACTTCCAATTACTTTTATGTTGACTGTTCGTCAGCCTCATTTCCATCAACAAGTAGAGGACCATCCGGTGAGTAAGCATCTACTAGAGCAGACTCTTCTTGAGGATCATCACCTTGCTCTGGAAACTGTACCTTATCCTCATTCTGGTCAGCTTCCTGCGTAAAAGAAAATGAAAGAACAAATTGTTCCTCTATTATGAGTCTATTTTGCTCATTTAAATTGAGTGTACAGAATAAAATAGCAACAAGACTAGTAGGTTACTCGGTAGCTTAGAGAAACAAAGACATTCATATAGATGTAAACTGTTAATATCTATTTTAGTTCAAAGAGCACCCTCAACTAAAAACAGCCTCAATTAACAGCACAAAAAGGCAAAAATGAAACTGGCGAACCTTACATTTCTACTTTTAATTGGTGGATGCATGTCTTTAGGGAGTGATATATGAATAAAAATAATGATTCATCTGTTGTGAAATATACATGCTGAGTGGATAATTAGAGCACACCCTAAATGTGATCTCTAGGAAGCTGATTTGCAGGAAAGATTGTATCACTATCACTATGGCTACTTGGCTAGAGAGGTTTTTTCAAATTTAAGGTGTCATTTGAAAATTTCAAACTGGTATGAGAACCTATTTGACCCTCCCCCTAAAAGTTTTACTAACTCTACCCCCCTAAGATTGGGACATAAAGGAGTGGTGTGGTTATTATAAAAAGTGGAGTTGTGTGATTGGTATTGAATTTGTAGTGTGAATGAAGTAAAAATGAACTGCAATCACCCAAATAATAACAATTATGGTATGGGACAAATTTAGTGGTCATAATATTAGTCATCTGCACAATTGAGAAGACATACCTCATGCTCCAAGTCTCCATTTTGAAGAGGTTCATCTTCATCCATCTTCATGTTCTTGAAAGCCTCAACAAGGTTTGTTGTTCTATGGGCTTGATTAATATAATCAGATGCTGGTGGAAGGCTACCTCTGCAAGGGAAATGAAAAAGGATTAATGACAGCAAACTTAGCAAATAACAGCAAAGAAATTAACACACACAAATAGAAACAAAATTTGTGTATACCTTTATCATCTATCTGTTTAAGTTTGTCCCATACCGTTTGGTAATATTTGGGTTGTTACAATTCATTCTTACTTTATTCACACTTTAAACTCAATACCAACCACACAATTGCACTTTTCTTAATAACCACACAATTGAACACATGCTTCATTTAAGTCTTTTTACAGTGGTAGTGATGATACCAGGAGAACAGAAACCCAAAAAAGATCCCAACTCCCAAGGCATATATTCTACACTCAAACAGAATGGAAAAAGACAGTACGGGGCGGCATAATTCAAGGTACATGATGAAGTGAGGATAGCCCTATATACCTTGCCTCACCAATACTAGATTCTACTGCAAGTGCAACCTGCCAATCTTCAAAGAGGTTAGGGTATTCTTCGGGATCAGCCAAAGCCTCTGCAGCTTTTTGGTTAATCTGCACCGCAAAATTCAAATACCAAAAAAGTCAAAAGCCTAGTCTTGAGTTTGGGTGGGAAAAGTGCCAACAAACCAAATGAAAGAAGATAGATCGAACTTTATATGAAGATAGCAAATCAAATACTAACCTTGCCAAGGTCCTTTCTCCAAATTTCAACTATTTCTGATACTTTACTAGGTAAATAAGATCGGGCCATAAATGCAGCCTCAGGTAGCCGATTGCTGAAACATTGAAAAGAATGACATTTTAATGATTAAATTAATGCAACAAAGAGGGAGGCACCTGGACACACCATCACTAGTGGTACCTGTCTACCAATAGCTGAATGCACTCTTCCACTTTACCCAATAAGAACAAACAAAGGAATGACACATTATTTTTCCCATTCTCCTTGGAAAGAGAAGAAAGTTCAGTTATTCCATCAGCATCTCCTAGAGAAGAGTAGAGTAATAGCAAACCACTCAAGTCATTTGCATGTTTCAAACATTGCTCTGCCAACTCAAACTGCAAAACACAGCAATTACAGTTATGAAAATCAAATCCCAAGAAAAGGAAAACTAAAATAAAAAAGGATACTGGGCCAAATGGCAACCCCACAAGCCAGAAAACTTGTGGGAACAATGAAAGCAATTAAGATACTCCATGTATTATTTTTACATGACCATCATGCACAACTCAATGTTGAACTAATTCAAGAGAACTAGAGACAATTACAGCACAATTGTGTATTTTACAATTACCATTCCGGAAGATATAGCAAGTTCACCCAACTGCTTCCATTTCGACTCACTCTGTACTGTTTCAGCAATTTCCTGCAAGCAAGTAAACATGTATGATCACTTCAACAAATCTGCAAGCAAGTATGGAAACTGAAAAAGAAATCTGAAGTACTTTGAGAATATAAGTTAGCTTATGCACTTGCCTTGGCAACTTCAAACTTCCTTAGTTGTATGGCTAGTTCAAATCTGTAGTCAAGATCAACTGCAACTTCTAATGCGTCCTCTACCATTCCTCGAGATTCCAGGAAACGGGCCACACTGATACAGATCATTTATTGATGATTAAAGAAAGCGTTTAAACCCAAGAAAAGAAAAAACGAAAAAAAATATTTTAAAAACAACAAACACATGTTACTTTGTCAATTACTCACTCCGTCCAAAAAACGTTTTGTTTAACCAAGGTACCTTTTCTTTATGTCAGGGTACAGCTGCTTTAAGTTATGAATTTTTAGAAACTATGGTTTACTTAAATTTATATTATTAAACATGTTTGTATTCTATTTTGGCAAACTTTTTGAAGAAATACTTTCATTTGATCAAACATGACTCTTTTTTGGGACCAAGAACTTCAGAAGCATGACTCCTTTTAGGAGACTGAGGGGTTACTTTTCAATGTTGCCACTTTCTGAATGAACATTGTGCAAATTCATAGAATCAGCTTTAGTCCCATTCTGAAGAACAATGTACAAGAGTGCAAAAATGGCATATATAACTTTCTTGAATTCAGTTCGTAACTCTTACAAAAACAGTTCTTACACAGAAGTAATATAAATTCAAATCCAACTGCAAGTACATCATTACTTCCTAATGGCTAGATGATTCTCTATTTTTAATAACCCAGGTAACATCAACCGGTGGAGTCCAACCACTTTAAGCCTTCACAGAAAAAACAGAGCCCGACAACCAGCACTTAGGGCCAACCAAACCTGGAGTGCACATGACCACCCCCCATGAGCCCCTCTCAACGATTCAATCCCACTGATGGAGAACGTGATGTCTAATGTGAGAGTTGAACCAGGCTGGGCAAGCTACTCAAGAAACAAAGTATGCCTCAGCGCCCAACCACCTTCCATGTTCTGACATTTGCTAGATGATTCTCTAATAGCTAGCCAGGCTAGGTAATGTTAAACAATTACCAAGAAAAGTAAACAACCAGCTACGTGACATACCTATTGTGATGCTCCTTAGGAATTGAGGGTAAGATCTCATTCGCTCGCTCTAGATCACCACGAATCACCAACGTCTTGTACTCAATCAAACCGAGGAGCAATGTGTATCCTATAACACTGGCAAAAATATGTTGAAGCCAATTACATACTTATCACAGTAACTCCTCCATCAAAACACTATGAAGCCTCTACTCACTTGAACTCTCGGTCAATGAAATAAATCCTACTTTGATTTGCCAGATAACCCAGCAGGTACATGGGATGGTCCAAATGAAACATTGTTGTGACCTGAACATGTGATATATAAATATATTGCTAGTTCACATCTAGGAAAGTAACGTATCTGCAAAAATACTATCTAAAAGGCCATCGAGGGGTGAATCTTTTACCTCACCGCCAACACAATAATTTAGTTTCCAGGATGAATTAGTGTAAATGAAGCAATCCCCAACCCACATTCCAGTTCTGACACGTTCGCTGATCTCATAAAGGAGTTCAAAAGCTTCTTCTATCCCTTGTTCATCAACAGATCTTCCTCCATCAAGATGTGCAGAAACAACATCACGCTGCAGTATTTGACTTAGACCCAATCAGTTCCGTGAATATAGGAGCATCAAGTGTTAATACACACACACATTATATACCATACAAACACACAAGTTATATAAATATATAGATTTTTTATAGATACATACATACATATTATTGTTTTATAACCCGGTGATGGCCAAAACCCGAAGGTATTTGGGGTGGGGGCAAGGGAACACCCCACCTATTTATTAAACATGCATACATATTATATAGCATACAAAGTACAAACACACATGTCATATATGTGTATACACACGTGACACACAAACTTGAAACTAAAAATTGAATCATTGATGAACAAGTTCTCACATTATATTTAAGAATGTAAAATGAAGAGTCACATGCAATTGCAACTAAATCACCACTGTCCGCCCAGTACAGATTCTGAAAAAATTGAAAAAGACAGTTATTGAATAAATAAAAAATCTCTAGGTTAACAACAAGCAATCACTATAGTTGTAGTCTTACTTTAACATTAACATCAATGTGTCGTATCAGCCTGCAGTCAGCCCAATCATAGAAGCAAATGAAATCACTTGAGCACATTGCCAATAAAGTACCCCCATATATATGCTCAACAGCAAAAGTAGGCCGGAAGCTCTTCTTCTCCTGAAGTTTGTCAAGATTAGAAGAGACACTATAACTAACAGACATTAAAACATTGCGGATACAAAGAATAAGATTGCACATTTCTAGTTACAGACCACCAGTCAAGCAAACAATGAGAAGTCATTTTACCTGAAAATTTTTACTGAATATCTTTACCCTTGATGTACTTTCCCTCACAGCATATTCTCCATCAGATGACCAAACAAATTCAAGTGCGGGGCCAAAAGACCGATTTCTCCAGGCTAAAGCTGTATATATGATGTGCTCCCCGTCTCCACAAACAACAACAAATCGTCCATTCGGATTATGTTTTAAGCTCTGTAGAGAGTTTGAGTGCAAGATGGAAAGATAGCGTCAGATATTAATATTAGGGAAGCAGCTTATCTGAATCTCAAAGTGATCCAAGCACACTAGATATGAATCAAATTAAACTATAAAAGGAATAATTGAGTTGGTCTGTTATGCAATCCAAACTGTACATATGATATAGTCATACGGCCAATGTTCTTTTTATACCCATTTAGTGGAGAGAAGAGAGAGAGAGAGAGAGAGAGAGAGAGAGAAATGACTTGGAACAACTTTTCATAATGTGGAAATTGTGTGGTTGGTATTTGTTTACAAAACAAGGAACAGTTTTTAAAAACAGATCCCTTTCCTAAAAATGAAAGAGAAGACAATTTAGGGATGGACGGAAAGAAACGGAGATAAAAAAAGGGATAGAGGGATTTATATAGTGTGCTCTTGTATAGAGGTTTTACTCTAGAACCAGACTGAACCACTACTACCAACTTTTGAATATGGTGATTGAGAGTCAATGTGTCACTGCTATGACATATTAAGTATGTGGTGCTGCTTGTTAGCATTCTTAAATTCTTTCTAACCGCGTTTTAGATTAAGAGTAATAAATAGATAGTGTTCCCCTGTTGACAAGGTTGTAGATCAGCTCCACCTTTGAAATCTAAAATGCTTCCACAGAGAATGACTCTAACTGATTGCAATTTACTAAGTAGACTGTAACATCGTATCAGCATATAGAAGATGAAGTAAAAAAGGAATATTCAAAACATAAACCAACTCACTTGAGGGTAGAGGTCACAGGTTCCCAATTCCTTGACAGCCAAAGGCAGTCTTTCTCCATCAGTGACCTGAGACATAAATCAAGCACTTGATTCACACAATGTGTTTGTAGTGTTAGTTAGTGTTGTCACTGAGCAATGTAGGATGTAAATCCAGCAGTACCTCGTAATCGGATCCCACACTCTTGATGTTGACAGTTTGAATCTCATTATGTTTTGCCCATATAATTTTTCCACTGTTGTCCATACTAGCAACGGGTTCTTCACGGCCCATTTTAACCATGATAGTTCCTTCATCGTAACCAATCACAACCCTGTCCAGTTACCCCAAAGAAAATGTTATTTAGTGAAGAAAAATCCTAGAAAAACTATTTTCCTAGTCATTACTATTCATTGTTCTTTCACAAATAGATTCACATAATTTGCAAATTTGTATTTTTAAGACAAACAAGTCTGGACTCAAGAAAGGAAAACATTCTCCACTCAACAAGTGTGAGATATTAGATATTCAAAACTTATTATCATCATCACCTTAATTCTAACTACATTGGGGTTGGTGGCATGAAAACTATAGCATCAATTGATTGTCTGGATTTAGTTAACGGTATAAACTCATGCAGAAAAGCATTGGCAACATTTTACACCAAATTTTTTTCCTGTCTCAACCTTCTAAAGAAGGAATATTGAGATTTATTTCAAAAAACACTGCCATTGGTTTTTCCCACTTGCATGGTTTTCCCCATTAGTCATGTCCCGTTGCAAAATTGATACTGTAAAATCAACATGCACATCATGCAACATGATTGTGAAATATGCAATATGGATCTGAAATTTAGACAGGGGTTTTATCCAACTAAATGAAATATAACGAAACTTCACACGACAGCAAATGCACATGAGTAGCACTTAATAATGCTATGAGAGATCAACTTACCTTCTTGAACCTTTGATAGAACCAACTGCCCAGACTCTTTCAAGACCATAATTCAATGTATTTTCGAGTCTGTAGATAAAGAAGGAAGCCGTTACAAAAAAACCCCAAATAACAATGTGATGGTTATATGCCTTGATGACTATTTAAACAAGAGTTTAAATAAATTATTCCTAAGTGATGCCTTGATGCAAGAGTTTAGATAAGGATGCTTATGCCAAAGTATTATGTCATGACAAGAATTTCTTTCAAAATCAGCACAGAGTTATCTAGATTCTAGAGACAAGAGGCTCATCCAGGAATAGTCACATGGATCGCGGTACACTCCAGAACGCAGAACAAAAACAGGATCACGGATTGCTAATATCTGAAATCCGATACGCAGGGGGTTCTTCGGTACGCTATTTTGGTATGTGGTACGTTGTACCATTTATTACGGTACGGTGTAACAGTAACTTATACAATTTATAAATTATAACTATAATATTAATAATATTAAACAATTAATGTAACATTCCAAAATCCAATTTTTCTCAATTCATGAACCGAATATAATTCAACTATAAGTTCAAGTGTTTAGCATATCATAAGTTTTACAAAATAACAAAAGTAACTTCAATAAAACTGTAAACAAACTTAACAAAGTTTGGAGCAATAGGAGATGAGAAGAGGTATAAGTGCTGAGCACATTAAATAAAGAAAAAAATAAAACTGGAATGCTGGATCTTCATTTGGACTTTGGAGCAATAAGTGCGTCGTTTGGAAGAACAAAGTCGCCGACCTGCGTCGCTTGGAAGAACGAAGTAGCCAACCGTCTGTTGGACTGCTGGAGCGTCGTTCGCGGGAGAAAACGTGCGAACAGCCAGAGCGATACACCGTACCGCCTGGGAGATACAGGCGAACTACGACCGGAAACCACCGTACTGAAGTCGCGACCCAGAGGCATCCGGCCCGCTGCTGTTCCATGATCCAGAACGTGCGATTCAAAATGCAGATCGTGGTTGTGCTGGCAATTTATGTAACTATGGATCCACTCATCGGTAATTTTGTATGCTGCTCGTTTCCCTTTTTATTTTCTTATGTTTTATAAAGATGTTGTAGAATTATCTTTTAAATTAAGCTAGTCATATCCGGTGGTGCCCTTATAAATACAATCTATTTGATGATATGCCTAACAGCCTCACTAATAACCGGGCTGAAGTCTATCATGAAGTTATGTGAAGCCCTTTATGATATTAGCTCAGATTGCATACAACAATACTAATCACTAAGTAAACTTGTAAATACAACATTACCTATAAGTTGTTGCATGCCATATACGAACAGTACCATCTTCAGAACCTGTGATTATGATAGGTAGTTCAGGATGAAAACAAACAGCAGATACATTATGTGTATGGCCTTCTAGGGTTTGTACACAGCTTTTAGTCTGGTAGTCCCACACCTGGTTTAAATGTAAATACACTTCAGATACCAACAGTCCAAAACCATTCTAACCAACCACAAAAGAGCAAGTGTGAAAAGAAAGAACGACAAACCTTAGCAGTATGATCATCAGAACCAGTTATTAAGTAAGGCTTATCACCACCAGTGAAATAATCTACACAGTTAACACCTTTCGTATGGGCATCGAGTGTAAAGTTTGGATCAGGGGAACCAAGATTCCAAATCTGTGAATAGAAGCATGCGCATACCATTATCAATTCAACCGAGTATACAATGACAGTATGGGAGAGTAGATAGATGAAAACCAGAAAAGCACACCTTTATTGTCCGGTCAAGAGATGCACTAGCAAAAGTATTTGTGTCCTTAGGATTAAATGTCACTTGCATTACATAATGGGAATGACCCTCAAAAATTTGAGTGCATGTCCAGCCCTTCTCCCAGTCCCATAGCTTTATGAGCATGTCATCAGAAGATGACAACACATATGGCAGAGTGGGATGAACAGCTACACACCTAATATAGTCCGTGTGTGCCTCAAATACTTTAATCTTGTCCATGGTATTATAATTGTATACTCGGATAAACATATCATCAGCACCGGCTACCACCCATTGCTTACGTGCTACAAACTTTGCAGACCTAACTGCAACAAAATAAATTAGGTGTTACGAAACAGCAAACTTCATCAAGGCAAAAGCTTGATTACTTTACGACACTCTGCCCAACAAAACATATAATATTCCTACTGACCTGGTAGATCAGTGACTTCAAAAGATTTTGTCATTGTCTGCAACAGACAAGATGAGATATGTGTTAGCATTTTATAACTGACAGCTGGTTTATCAAGGTATTTCGAATTAAATACTAAGAACTGCTTGCAAAAACGACTAATATGATTGCTAAAACTACTCAAGCATTGAATGTTATCCAGGTACCTAAAAGACAAGAGCAAAATACCTCATGAGTGGCAGTCGGTAAAAAAGCCACAATCAGCACGATGTGTGATTAATTTGTTTAAATGTGGTTGACAGATTTTATTTAATTTGATTGAATAACTTCACTAGCAATGTATTTTAGGAAGCAGTTTGTTAGGACTTCTTGCTATCATTGTTTTAAGTTTTTACTCCCTCCGTCCCTCTTATAATGTCCCGTTTTACCTTTCCGGGAAGTCCCACTAAAATTGTCCCATACCATATTTGGTAAAGTTTGTGTGGTTCTAAATCATTCTTACTTTATTCTTACTTTATCAATTAATATCAACCACACAACCCCACTTTTCTTAATAATCGTGCCACTCTCTTCCGACCCAATATAAGAGGGACGGAGGTAGTATATCATTCTATACATGTAACCCCTATTCTAAAACCGGACTTCGTTTTGCTAATAAATATCCAACAGTGCACTAAGAAGAAATCAAGGAGAAGGAAAACACCCTCAAATCGCATGCCCACCTCTGCTTATCCCATTCCAATCGTGATGTGATGAACAATCCTGGTACATATCATTTGGCATCCACACTAACAGGGAAGACAATAGATACAGACAGAACTACACATGTTGCAACTTTCAAAAGCTACCAAATGCAGTGTCAAAGGTGCAAGTTGTAACTGCACTGCAGCCAATAAACGAATGTTAAGAGCACAGACACTTTTTAACATGATTGACAACCTTGCCCTATTGTGGACTCCTTGGCAGTTAAAGAAGCACCCCCGACTAGTAAGCACTTCATCTACCGATGTCCCATCTCAAGCTAGTCCAATTGGTAGACTTCTTGGATCCATTTTGGTTTGCCAAAGCCGTGCAAATTGATCGTTGTCAATCAAGGGCATTTCAAATGGATGGGGCTCACTTGTATTCCACTACTATAACAAACTTGAAGTCTCCTTCAAAAATACAAGGATCGCTGGCACATTGGCACTTTGTAGGTACAATCACTCAGCACCATGTTCAAGTTTTCAAGCTCAAGGGCAGGCTTTAATATGTTGAAGGAGTGTAACGACTAATGATGCTACACTACTTTAAGACTATGACAAGGATAAAATAGAAATCAAGTAGAAAAATGAGGGGTGGTAGCTGATTGATTTGATCAATATTGTTGATTGATATTATTTTAAATAGATCATTATGCCTCCATTAACTTACCTATTTTAGAAAGGAATTTGCTAGGATTTCTTCCTTTCATTATTTTACTTATTTCTGAGTGAATTAGAGTAGTCAAGAATGATAAGGTATTTCTTGGGTTAGATGACAGTATGAACTTGGAGAGAGTGAAGTCAAGGGAGTGTATACGTGTGGAAGATTGGTCTGGTTTTGTGTGACTTCTCTATTTATTGTTTCTAACTCTGATTAGCGGACCTCAAACTCTTTTGGGATTAAGGCTTGGATGTTGTTGTTGTTTTACATATTTATATGCATGCAATCCCTATCAGAAAGGGGGCCTTTATTTTGCAAATAATATACCCAAAGAAGAATTAAGAACTCAAGGAGAAGGAAAACACCCCAAATTCCAAAGTAGAAGGAAAGCTCTGAAATCCAAATGGAAGGAAAACTTGTTAAAATTCCATTTCCATTTCTGGTTATCCCTTTTAATGCATTTCCATGAGTCCATGACGTGAACAACCCAAGATTCATACAAAACAAACACTGATTCATATTTAAAATGGATTGTGTTAACAATGAGAGCTATTAAACGTGTAAGAGGAAAAAGGCATGACATGTGTTATAGCATGCAGGCCACTAAGAAGCACAAGTCAAAAGTACATACAAGAAGAATTAATTCCACTATTTGTCCTATAAGTTTGATGCCATTTTCACATTTATTCCTTTTCTTTCACTTTGTTCACTTTTGGTGTTTGACTAATGTTTCTTGGCCACTTGTAGTCCTTCCGTCCAATTTTCTGACGCTTCTCCGGCGATTTTAAACATAGGAAATATCAACAGAAGGACTATATATGGTTGAAAAACAATAGTAATGTACCAACAGTGGTCAGAGTAAAAAACGTGAACCAAATACGGAATTGGTGTGATACTCCTAGGACCAAATGGAACTTATTCTAAAAAAGAATACAAATCATGCACATGTAAAACTACATTTACCTGAGTTTGGTAGTTCCAGATGGTAACCGCCCCAGAATACAAACTTGCTAATATCCTGGAAAAGCAGAAAAAAGTAGGACCAGTGAACATGTAGTTAATTACTTAAATACTCTAATGAGATCTTTCTTTGGTGCTTGCTTCTATTAGAGTATAAGTGATACCTTATCAGAGATTAAACATAATAAGTAACATACCCTAATGGCTAATACCCCAAATCCTAATGAGACCTTGAGCAACCTTGTTCCACAAGTATCACAATATGGACCCTCATAGATTGCATCCATTAAAATTAGAATGCCACTCAGGATAAGATTTTTTCATTAAGTAGAAGTTGGTTTGGCGTTGTAATTTCCAAGTCTCATAATGTTAGCATTTGTGAAATGCAGGCATGCAGAAATAACATGATTGTAAAGCATATACAGTCAATGATGTCTATGTTAAATGCTCAGTTTTCTTGATACATTGTCTAGGCATGTATACTATAATAAGTTTTCCAGATATCATGTTGACTCTTTGTTTCAAGAGGCATTTGGGCATAATGGCTAACTTTTTTATGTGTTGAGGCATCATTCCATTTTGATAGAGTTTGGGAGCATTACAGGAAGGTCATGTGGAAAATGTTGATATGCCAAGTGCCATATTACATCAAGTTGGAGGTCTCACAAGAGAAACACTTCACCTAAACTCAACACGTCCAAGGGAGAGACCAGAAATAGAGAAATACTGGAGGATCTCAATGTGTCAAGTTTGACATAGAAAAGACATTTCAGTGACCTTGCAATATGTGCTTTCTGCTATAGTGCTATTTAAGGGTCAGACCATGCCTTGCAAGTTGTAAGACATACCCGCAAGAGGAAGAGGAAGGCGTGAGGATCCATTCTTAGAAAAGAAAAATAAAAGATTTCACTACTCCATTCTATTGAAGACAAATATTGAAGCAAGAACAAGGGATTATCAACTCTAACTTTTTCTTTCCTCAAAATTCTGATGTAAACTCTATTTAGAAAATGAGTAGCTAAATTGTAATAGCCAATAGGAATTTAGATTTGTGTGAAACTATTTTCTATGGTTTCCACACTTGTAGGCTCTATATGCTTAATTACAAAATATATTGAATTTCAAATTTCTTGGGTGTTACACTTGTCATTTACCTTTATATTTGTTATAAAGTATAAACCAAATCAAGTTATATGCTTTTTATGTACATGTGTGTGTGTGTTATATAGCCAAAAGTTATACGCATAGAACTCATATGGTAAGCTAGCTTGTCAGTTATCGAAAATCGAAAACACTGAGTGGTATTTGTTATTTTGTTATTATATGATTAAATTATTATATATGTAGTTGCCTATTAAAATTTAAAAACAGATACAAAGCAACCCGTATCTAAAATGTGAAGAGTAAAGTTGTTTTTTCTCTCCATTTCAATCATTTTACCTATTAACAGGTTAAACCTCAGAATGAAAAACATGAGGTGTTTGGTAGGGAAAATGGTTGACACCCCTTAACAGCCCTAATCATGTGTCCAACATGCGAACATATAAGCTTACACACATACACACTTAGTATTTTACCGCATCGTATCATCGTATGTATAAATTCTAGGACAAGATGGTGAAGGATATTTATGTGTTTAATTTCCACACCTTAAATGGAAAGAAAGAACTGTAATCAATGTTGTTTCTCTGGTAGCAGACAAAATGCCATGTTGGATCAAGTGTTTGTCTTCATGGGGAAATTGTGAAGAATTGTGGTCTATCACAGTCTATGCCTTTATGGTGAAGTCATATGGCAGAATTTGGCCATCATCCATCTTCCACTATTACTCCTACAATCATATTCTTATCTGAAGTTTCCATTGCACAATGCATTCCATGAATTCAATCTCCTCCACTTGGAATTTGTTAACTTGTACGAAGTAATTATTTTCATTTTCATGAGATTGGGTTTGATGCTTTTGTCTACTAGATTATTCCTTAAAACCTAGTTCAATGGAAACTCATTTGTACATATAAAATGCTCAATTTTTCAATCAAGTAACATATTTTTATTCTCTATGGTTTCCACACTTGTAGACTCTAGGAGTACTTCATGTACTTCAATTCTATTTGCTTCAATCTATTTCATGCGCTTGCAGATTCCGATCTCAAGCATTGGAACAAATGAGATCTAAAGGGCATTGTCGGAAAAAAAAAACATGGTAGCTACTTACCATGGCTCTGTCGGATGTAGATCTACAGACTTTACTCTTTCAGATCTTTGAGCAAGTTTTCTCTGGTGCAACAATAAAAATCAGCATCGAATATATAGCTCATTGAAACTAGTATTTGATGCATGTAGCCAAAAGGTACCTTAATTTCCAAACTCAGAGGCTGCAATGTTCCACGCCCACAAGCACACAAAAAAAGGAATTAGTGATAACGAAACAGGATCGGATCTCAGTACATTCAACAATTCATCGAATTACAACTCTAGCATTAAAACTGCAATCCTAACTATTCAATTGGCAAAAAACGTCGTGAAGAAAGCCAACATCTAAACGATGATCAACCGACGTGGAAACATCCAATCAGGATTGGATCAGATCTTACTTGCAACAGGATAAGGATTGACACAGAAAACAGGATAAGACATGCTCACCATTGTTACAGAGGAAGGAAATGCAGGTCACGATGAAAAAACGAACAAAAGATCTTGATGAGCGATGTAAATCCGAGCTACAGAGAGACGAAGCGAATAACCGTGCTGTGTTGATATTATAATTATAATTATAATTATAATAATTATAGTAATGGCATGAACCAAGCGAGAGAAACTGTCGAGGACTCGAGGGTGCTCTCCTGCTACTGAACCTAATTTTATACGGGCTAATTTGAGTTCGCTAAGTAATACGGAGTATATTGGATTTTACCCTTCCTACTTAAAATTATTACAAAAATGATGTTTGTACACACTCTTATACACACTTGTGTACACACCTATGTTTGTGAAAGCTTTTTTTTGTCTGTGAATATCGATTCACAGACAATGTTTTGCACAAACAAAATATTGTCCGTGAACCGGATTCACAGACAAAAAAAAAACTTCACAAACATGATGTGTACAAGAGTGTGTACATCAAGAATGGTTGAAATTATTATTAGTAATATTTGCACTTTATTAGCCCAAAAGTTGGTAACAAGTGCAGTGCTAAGTCAAATGGTTTTGAGACTAGTTTAGTAGTTAGCACATTAAAGTTTTACATATGAAAACATTACCAGCAATGTTTAAGGATGTAATCACTTAACATGTAAAATAGATTACATTATTTGATTAGCAGTGTAATTTGTTTTAAGTTGCATGCAAAATATTTTACTAATATCCTCGAGTAAAATATTTTACATGATACAATGCAAAATGTTTTTAAAAAGTGTCTTACAGTTTGCATTAAACAATCAAGTAAAACGGGGTAAAATTTTTACATCCCTACACTTCGCATGCAAAGTAATTACTTTACATTCTACCAAATGCCTTCTTATAGTAAAATGGGATTTTAAACTCAAATATCACTCAAAAGATATGGTGCAAAGATAAATTCTCAATTTTGTATTTTTAAAATGACTTTAAATAGGTTAAAATAATTTTTGTCTCTCTGACATATTTTGTAATAGATTTCTATAAATAATTCTTTTATATTTCATCTCTTTAATATGCATTAGTTTGCAATAGATTTCCGAATAATAAAAAGGATTATTTAACCACCTTCTCAAAATTTAATTAGCATTCCGAATTAAAATAGATTTGAAATCTGCTAACGTCCTTAAAATTCAGATGGAGTGGGATGTGAATATGTGATGCACGGTTGCAAATCTACTTCGATTTTCCTATACTTTTCACTTCAACTTTATTAGTTTTAGAAAAACTTACCTTAACCAGCTACAATTTCTATCAGATTCAGTCTTTTTAAAGCACAATTAATTCTTGTCTAGGCAGCAGTTCTTACCGCCTAGGGATTCTTTTGGCACTTTTTAGGAAAAAGTGGAGCTAGGTTCAACCTGGGGGTGGACGCAGGAACCGGATCCGGCACTGTTTGGGACCGGGTCGAGTCCGGAAATTCCAGTTTCAGGCTTGGGACCACCCCTGTCCGCCCAAGAATGGTACCCGGTCCCAGTTCACCTATTTGGGGACCGAACCGAGCGGTTCCAGTCCTAGGTTCTTTCCCGGACCGGCCATTTTTGTAGCCTTCAAAACAAAAACAAAAATAGAACGGAACCGGGTCTGGCCCGCATACCCCGAATCGGCCTAGACTCAGATTTAACCGGTTCGGACCCGGGCTTCTCTACCACCGACTGGGATCGGAACCGGGACCGAGTCCACCCATAGTTCAACTCAAGAATTTATATTGTCTCCACTTTGAATGCACTTCATCAAATCTTAGAAAGTTGTGATTAACATGAAGCTGTTCATAAATTGGTGAATAGTAATAACATTTCGGCTAAAAAATAAAATCAGAATATTACACCGATAGTGTGTGTTAAAGAAAACTTATGAATCATCTTGCTCAGGAACTGAGGACTTCCTCTTCCTCACGTATCTCCTTGCAGAAATGGTTGCCTTATCATCAAGCCCTGTAACCTGCTCCCCGACATTTACAGGCGTGTTTGATGAATTCATTTGACTCCTTAGCCTCAATAATTCGCCTTTCGCCGATCCCAGTTCCTCCTCCAGCTTCTTTGCTCTCCTCTCAAAATTTTCTCTTTCCTTCCCGAGTCTCATCACAAGGTTATGAGCATCTTCCATGTTATCCCGAGCTTCTTGAGAAGCTTTCCTTTGCTCTGCAAGAGATTTAAGAAGAACTTGCTTTTCATCTTCAAGGCGAGAAACAGCAGTCATCGCAAGCTCCAGTTCCTTCGAGAGAGCCATAGCATTTTGGTTCATCTCAACAAGTGATTTCATAGCCTCTTCCAGATCTGCTTCCAGAGATTTATTACGTTCTTCTTTGTGTCTTAAAACTTCAGTCTCTAAAATCTGCAACTCCTTGTTAAGAGAAGCAACAACACATCTTTCTTCTCTTAGATCATTAGCAGCACTCTCAGCCTTTTTATATACATCAACCAGCTCCTTTTGTAGGCTGTCACGAGAGTTGGCAACTGAAGCTAGTTCTTGAATTATTATCTGCACTTCCTCATGTGCTTTCCCTAGAAGCTCTTTTGTTGAAGTTAGCTCTGAAGCTAACAGGTCTGCAACTTTTTTTGCCTCATCAGAGTTGATATGCAGTGTTTCCGTAGCTTTAACAATGTCCGACCTTAACATGGAAGCCTCAGCTTCGAGACCAGAGCAAAGCTCTCTTGACTGCTCTAGTTGGTTCTTTAAATCATAAGTTTCATTTCTTGAGTTTTCCAGATTTTCCCGAGCAATATCAAGCCCGTGTCTCAATTCCTTTGCAGTTTCCAGTTCCGTGTCCAGAATTTTTTTCATTTCAACTTTTTCCAGGGTTAGATCAGTAATTAATACTTTGTTCTTTTCCATTTCATCTGAAGCAATATCAAGGTGTTTCTGAAGGTGCTGCATTTTCTGTTTCTGTTCCTCCAAGAGCTTAGCATTTGAAGCTGCCTTATTTTCTGAAGTGTGTTTCAAGTCATTATACTCGTTTATCATTGCACTGTGCTTTTCGATAAGCTCATTTCTTTCAGCAATCAGAGAATTCAACTTCACTTCCTGACTGTCTACCTCAGAATTCTTCAAATACAACTCGCTCTCTTTTTTCAGGATCTCATCTTTGAGGTTTTTATTTTCTGAAGTTAAATCCAGAAGCTCAGTATGTGATTGTTGATGCATCGAAATAAGCTTACTGACCTCAGCTTCTTTTTCAGCTAACTGGGTGCTAATCTTCTGAAGGTTGTCATCCTTGTCTTTGATCTCCACACTCAGAAAGTTCATCTTCTCGTGCAGAATGTTTATAGAACCCAGTTTGTTCTTGAGCTCCGCCTCAAATTTGTTTTTTTCCTCTAAAGCTATCATGAGGTCACCTTCAAGTCTTCGCTTTGTGGATTTAAGATCTTCAACGAATTCCTTTTCCTTTAGGAGCTCTTGTTCAAGGTCTTTTATAGTGACATTTGTTGAATTCAGCCTGTTAAGTAAAATTTGGTGCTCTTCACTGGCCCTCCTTTGCTGTTTATTCTGCTCTTCCTTTTCTTTCAGCAGCTCAGATTCAAACATTTTCCCCATGGAAACAATGGTTGCTTCTTTTTCCTCCAGTTTCCCTCTCATCTAATGTGCAAATAATTGCAGATACATTTGATATGTAAAGCAGTCAAAACAACTTATAGAAATCAACATCCCTACACTGAAATAGTTTTTACAATTTCTCGATAACAGTCCGTTCAAATGAGAACAAAAAGTGAATTAGAATGTTTTTATTTGGATTGAAATTTAGTGGTCTGGTCTGGTCTGTTTAAGTTTGATCCGGTTTAGTAAATGCCCGGTCTCTTTGTATTTTATAACTATGAAAGTCTGGTCTAGTCTGGTCTGTTTAAATCTAGTCTGGTCTAGGACTGAAAACAGTCCAAGTAAAAACATCCTTAAAGGGGGAAAGAGAATTTTAGCATTTTACAAGTGTACCTTTTTTCTTCATTGCAAAACCATGATTTGTTTACTTGTTTCTTTTATACGTATGAGTATTACATATATAACATTCTTTTACCTTTTGTCTTGAATCCTGTGATTTCACAATCCGATTTTACGAACCACCCAATGATCCCGGTGAAAAAAGAGATTTTGACAACCTTTACTAGGCATGTCAATGGGTCGGGTCTAGACCCAGACCTGAGCCGGACCCAGTTGTTTTTAATGGGTACGGGTCTATATTTTATTCCGTTTACCAGGACCCGGATCCGGACCCGGATATGGACCCGTTAGTATTTTAAATAAACGGATCGGGTATGGTACATATGATTCCGACTCGTTAAGGACCCAGACCCGTTTAAAATTTTTTATTTGTATACACAGACACTAATAATAAAGCGATTAGTTATAACACTTTAAATAAAATCGAAACTAATATACATATATATACATAATGTGATTAGTTGTGATTCTTCAATAAAAATATACACATTAATAAAAATATACACATTAATACCTAACTACTATATAAGTGATACTGATCGAGATAGTAAGACACCCTAAATACATACCGATAAAATGTGTATTGGGCTCGGTAGGAAAAGCACAATATTTATTACTATTATGATTTTTGAAAAGTGAAGATATATTTTGCATTTAAATTTGTACACTTTGTTTTATATTTGACATACATGTTTTGTTATTTTCTCAGAGTTTATAATGGTGTGCGTATCATACTTGGCAGGCGGGTCTACCCGACCCGATTCTGAGGCCCATTGGGTCTGGGTCCGGGTCCAAATCTTCATACCCGTTGGGTAAACGAGTCGGGTCCGGGTCCATTATTAACTTAGCGGGTACGGGTCTGGAACACTATGTTCCGACCCGGACCCGACCCATTGACAGGCCTAACCTTGACTAAGAGAACTAAGAGCTTCATGATCCCAGTGAAAAAGAGATTTTGACAACTTTGATTAAGAGAACTAAAAAAGCTTCATGATATATAGGGTGCGGCTTCAATGAGAACAGTGTTTAACGTGAGAACGTGAAAACAGTCACATTTAATTATTTAAATCAATGTGGTGCATAATGGAGCTCTTTTGTTGCACATTTTTAACTTTGCTCAATTTTAGTCAATATTAAATAACACGATGACATTTTTGGTAAATATTATGACAATTCAAAAAAGTGCAACAGCGGAGCTTCATTGTGCATCATGCTAGGGTAAATGTATTGTTCTCACGTTCTCACGCTAAGTCTTGTTCTCATTTGATTTTTAATCTACATACATAGGGAGTTGTTCTGGTAAGAAAGGAATCTGAAGAGAGAAATAAGAATGAATCTGGACCACTGGATTGTATTATGTGAAACAGCATTGTGCATTTGGTGAAGCTGAAGTTTGCATTAGATGCAATCGAAATGTGTAGGGCAAAAGGTAAACTCAAATGTGGATTAGGTGAAATTGAAATGTGCAGAATAAAAGGTTTTAAAATGACATCGCGACGTACCTTTTACTTTGCACATTTCAGTTTCACCTAATGTACATTTTCAGTTTCACCTAATGCACAATTCAATTTCACATAATGTCACTGTATCGTACCCTTTGTGCTTCACATTTCAGTCTCATATAATACACATTGAGTTTCACCTGATGCACATTAAATTTCACATAATATATATCCTTGAAATCTTGGCCTTTAATTACTTGCAAATGGATGGATTAGATCAACTTTAATCACAAGACACGATGTCAAAAAATGTGCAAATGTTCATAGTATAAAGTGGATAGATAATGAACATAAGTGTACTCACAAGTGTTAAAAAAGTGTTAATTATTTTTAATTTGTGCACATTTTATTATGTACTATAATGCACTTTCGTACTCTACATGTGCACTTTTTGCATTTCCTAGTACACATTTGTTACAATATTTTCATTAAAAGTTCATCATAATTACCAAAATGTCATCGTGTTTCCAACTTACAATTTCATCTATTCCATCAATTTTTTCACATCAATGGCCAAGATTAGTTCTTATTTTTCATCTAGGAACCACTTTTTATTTGAAGCAAAGTCTATATATATATAGAGAGAGAGAGTGCGGTTCTAATGAAAACGATGCTTAATGTGAGAACGTAAGAACACTCACATTTAAATCAATGTGGTGCACAATGGAGCTCTTTTGTTGCACATTTTTTAACTTTGCTCAAATTAAGACAAGGGAGAATTATCAAATAAGCCCTCGAACTTTCATAAAAAGTGCAAATAAGCCCTTTTACACAAGGCTTTGTCCGGCTGTCACCATTTGGGGCGGTTTCCGGTTGAATTGTTTGATGAAATTTTTTGAGCATCTTCTTCATTAAGTCTAGTTTATCTATATCAAATTTCAGCTAAAAAAATCAATCGATAAGGCAGTCAAATAATTTTCTGAAATATATTTCGCTGTCTAATTGCGCAGTTATCTTCAAAAATTCATTTGACTGTCTTCCCGATTGAATTTGTAGCCGAAATTTGGCATGAGTAAACTAGACTTAATGAAGAAGATACTCAAAAAATTTCATCAAAAAATTCCACCGGAAACCGCCTCAAATGGCGACGGCCGGACAGAGCCTCCTATAAGAGGGCTTATTTGCACTTTTTATGAAAGTTCGAGGGCTTATTTGATAGTTCTCCCTTAAGACAATGTTAAATAACGCGGTGACATTTTGATAAATATTATGATAATCCAAAAAAGTGCAATAAACGAGTTTCATTGTGCATCACGTTGGGGTAAATGTGGTGTTCTCACGATAAGCCTTGTTTGTATTTGATCTGGAATATATATATATTTGAATATGTGTGTGTGTGTATATGTATGTATATATATATATATATATATATATATTAGAATATATATTTGAATATATATTCAAATATATATATATATATATATATTTGAGTATGTATATATATATATATTAGAATATATATATACACACACACATATTAGAGATCAAATACAAATCATGCTTAATTTACTAACCTACAAACTCATTTTGACCATCCGATCAGTTGATCTAAAGGCTATAAAGACAAGGTGGCATTTTTGTAATAAAAGCCAACTTTTTTAGGATGCAACTCTTAGAATGTTAATATGCAACTACTATTTTATAACTTGAATAATATGCAACACTTTGAACCTCAATATGCATCGTACAAACGTATACACGATAAGCACAGTTTGCACGATAAGGTTGAATTCAAGTAAAAAGCAGTCTTCCCATGAAAAGTGAGATATTAAATGGGTTGGATGAACTTTATTACTTGTAGATGCATGGATCAGATGAACTTTAATCACAAGACACAAAGTCAAATAATGTGCAAATATTTATTGTACCAAGTGAATATTAAATGAATAAAAGTGCACTCATGAATGTTAAAACAGATTGCCAATTTTTTTAAACTAGTGCACATTTTATGATGTACGGTTGGTTATGCACTTTTGTGCTCTACCTGTTCACTTTTTGCATATTCAGATACACTTCGTATAATATTTTTATTGAAAATTCCTTAAAATTACCAAAACGTCACCACGTTTTTAACTTAAAATTTGATCTCTTCCATCCATTTTTTCACACCAATGGCCAAGATTAGTTCTTATTTTTCACCTAGGAAGTATTTTTTTATTTGAACCAAACTCTATGGCCATGTTTGGTAAATGGTTGAATAGCCATTTTTCAGCTTATTTGACCACATTCAATTGAATTGACTAGCTGAATTGTCAAAATTTGTGTTTGGTAAATAGCTGGTGGGATTAGTTGATTGCTCTCTAAAAGCCAACTTTCAAAAAGCCAGCAACACCGGCGTTTGTGCTTGGCTGGTTGCTAAATAATTACTTAATACCTAATTAATCATTTATGCTACTTTCATTCGGCATTTTGAATTTGAACAGGTGTCTTCGACGCATTCAGGCACAACCAAAGTTTTTTTATTAGCTAGCACCATGAAAGAGTTTGATATAAGCAGAAATTCCCTTTATAAATAACTAATAAAGGCGAAACAAAGGAGAATAAGTCTACCAAATTTCCCTTATCATGGAGAAGTAGAAAACTACAGCCGAGTTTCTATCTCTTGGTAAGGGACTAACATCAGTAACGGCCGAAAGGAGTCCGTAACAATTAAGCCAGCTAAAGAGTATCAAGTATCAACAATGCCAACCTCTCTATTACTAATAGGCGCAAAGGAGAGTTTCCAACAGTGGCGTTCCAGTTGCTAAATTAAACTTTTACGCCTTTTGGAGTGATCTCCATCTCGAGCTGTTTCTTCAGATAACTTTGGGCAGTTGCATCAATAACCTTGACGAAAAAGTTGAGAAGCACAATTTGTGCTACAGTGTTCCAAACAGGACCCAATAACTTTGGGCAGGTGTTCCATAAGTTAGCTTATCAGTTGACTATTACTTTTTTAAAGAGAGTACTATACTAACAAGTTGTGTTTGGATTGAGGATTTTACTTTTAGCCTTAAGATTAGTTAGCAATCCTCTTGGAGTAGTTCCACTTTTAGCCTCATATTTTAAAACCATTTTGAACGTGTTTTTATGCCATTTTGCATTTCAAATCTATCTTATCTCTTAATTTTTCCAAACAGCTCAAGAGATTTGGGAGGCTGTGAAATTCACACAATTGAGCATTTATGAGGAGATATCTCAGAAGAGATTTGAGTATGTTTCTCTCAGAGCCTCCCAAATCTCTTGAGGTGTTTTGTATAGTAGGAAGTTTTCCCCTATACTGGTTGTCATGGAAGTTTTCCCCTATACTGGTTGTCATGGAATTGATGTTCTTATGTAGAGTTTGGAAAAATTAGGAGATAAGATAGATTTGAAATGTAAAATGACATAAAAAACACGTTCAAAATGGTTTTAAAATATGAGGCTAAAAGTGGAACTACTCCAAGAGGATTGTTAACTAATCTTAAGGATATCAAGTAAAATCTTCAATCCAAACACAGCTTGTTAGTATAGTACTCTCTTTCAAAAGGTAATAGTCAACTGATAAGCTTAGCTTATGGAACACCAAACATAGCTTATGCGATTAGTCGGTTTCTGAGGAGTATAATTCCACAAAATTATCATATGAGCATATATGTTATTATTTTTGGTATTTATTGTGATCAGGTGACCATTTGGGAGTTATTGAGTCCAGTTTGAAACACTGTAGCATGGATTGTGCTTCTAAACTTTTTCGTCAAGGTTATAAATGCAACTGCCCAAAGTTATCTGAAGAAACAGCTCGAGATGGAGATCACTGCCAAAAGGCGTAAAAGTTTAATTTAGCAAGTGGAACGCCACTGTTGGAAACTCTCCTTTGGCCTATTAGTAATAGAGAAGTTGGCATTGTTGATACTTGATACTCTTTAGCTGGCTTAATTGTTACGGACTCCTTTCGGTCGTTAATGATATTAGTCCCTTACCAAGAGATAGAAACTCGGTTGTAGTTTTCTACTTCTCCATGATCCGGGAAATTTGGTAGACTTATTCTCCTTTGTTTCGCCTTTATTAGTTTATCTATAAAGGAATTTCTGCTTATATCAAACTCTTTCATGGTGCTAGCTAATAAAAAAACTTTGGTTGTGCCTGAATGCGCCTAAGACACATGTTCAAATTCAAAATGCCGAATGGAAGTAGCATGAATGGTTAATTAGGTATTAAGTAATTATTTAGCAACCAGCCAAGCACAAACACGGGTGTTTCTGGCTTTTTGAAACTTGGCTTTTCGAGAGCAATCAGTTAATCCCACCAGCTATTTACCAAACATAAATTTTGACAATTCACTTGGTCAATTCAATTGATTGTGGTCAAATAAGCTGAAAAATGGTTGATCAACCATTTACCAAACATGGCCTATATATATATAGGGGATGGTTCAAATAAAAAGTGGTCTTAACGTGCAAATGCAAAGTTTGCACTTTTTCATTTTCGCTTTAACTTTTTCTTGCTTTCGTTGCACTTTTTCGCGGTAACTCAAAAAAAATGGTTTATTTACAAAACTGACACCGTCATTTTGGCCGAACTTGACCAAAATCAAAATGGCCAAAAAGTGCAACGCAAACAAGAAAAAGTGCGAGCGAAACATAAAAAAGTGAAAGCTTTGCACGGGAAGACCACTTTTCATTTGAACTCTTCCCTATATATATATATAAAATGATCTAAAATTTGGTTCAAATTAGAACATGATCTAAGGTGAGAAACAGTATACTCTGATTACTTTTTCATCTTTACTCCTTCATGTTTTTAATTTTCTAACACACTAGTCACTACCATTACACTTTTATTATTCTTAAACATGTGAAAATTCTGATGAAGCAAGTAAAAATAAACAGTATATATACTTTTTCCATCTCAAAATAATTTGCATTTTTACTTTTCTTGGTGAAACAAGGCTTTGTTTATTCTTTTATTTTGAGTACCAAACTTTTATTGTATTCGAAATTGGTTTTGGTGATTTAGTACAACTTTCAATGTAGTTTCTGAATATGTAATTACAATTAGATCATCATCATCATTATCATTACCCCAGTGCCGCAAAGGCTCCCACCTACGGTGGGGTAAGGGGGGTCGGATGTACACAGTCTTACCCCTGTACTAAAACACAGAGAGACTGTTTCCGAATGACCCATAGTGAAAATCGCGTCGAAAAATACATGGACTGACTGTTGCTTCATAATAAAGAAGCGCAGACAGTTTAGTGAACCATTTTGCTTTATTCCATCATATTCTCAAGCCAAAAAATAGTTAATCTTTGGCTACGTTGCAAATGATGGAAATAGGGTGGGGATGCAACACGAGGACTTTCCAGGGGGTCACCCATCCTAGTACTACTCTCACCCAAGCACGCTTAACTTCGGAGTTCTGATGGGATCCGGTGCATTAGGATGTTTTTACTTGGACTGTAATTCGTCCCAGACCAGACCAGATCAGACCAGACCAGTTCAGACCAGACTTGGATAGATATAAAAATACAAAGAAACCAGACCAGACCAGTTCAGACCAGACCAGCAAATTACAGTCCAAGTAAAAACATCCTTAGTGCTGGTATGATCGCATCCATGTAATTACAATTAGAATCACTGAAAAAAAGATTAGCAAGGAAGGTTTAACTTTATGACCAGACACGTTAAAAACAGCAAATTGCACATCAGTTTGGAACGGAGTATGTGTGTGTAAGTCTGTGTATGTAGGGACTTACATCTATTTATAACTATATATGTATGTCTGCGTGGAGCCAAACGCTTACCGATTCTAGGGCTGCAATAGACTTGGCATTTTCATTCTTTGCCAGTGCATAGAGAGCACCTAGCACTCCTGACCCATAAAAGCCGATCCCATTTAAAAGAGAGATGAGGGGGTTCTGGAACTCGTTGCCTTCAACTGTTCTTCGCTGACCACAATAAAAATATTCGCTTCAGAGAAGATCAAACTTGAGGAGACCATATACAAAGCAACAAGCGTAATCCACATTGCTCCTAAAGTTTGCAGACTATATTTTTTACAAAGAGTCAGACCTCAGCTTCTTCTTCCTGATCTTTTGCCTTCAATTCAAGAGTTTCTGAAATAGAATCTACTTGGTGTTGGTCATTCCTTTGAGAAGTATATCATGACTTGGAAAAAATACTTAAAGCGTAATCTTAGTAATTCAAGAAAGTGAAAAATGAGAAAAAGGATCACCCCCATTATAGCAAATATGAATTCTCCGAATCAATGTATAATCATAAAAAGAAAATGCTAGCGCTTATTCTTATTGGAAAGTAGTCATCAATAAACAACATCAGCAAGCAAACATTTCAGAAGAACAAGTCAAGCTTGGTTTGTTACATTTGGCATCAGAGAGTACAACCCATCGATTCAGTGGAGTGGACGAAGCTGAAAAGGTTGCATTTCAGAATCGAAGATGTGGAGCATCGATCAGATGTTTGGATTTGGACAGGTATTCAAGTAAAAAGATTTTCACCAACAGATCACTTGTAGTCTTAGTGCACTAAAGGTGGTATCTTATCATATACGGATTGATGCCCATACTTGCCAAATACTGAGAGATGATGGAAATAATTTTCACAGCTATGGTACAATATGATACCATATTGTCTTTTTGGTATACGGACGACTTGGAGAACTAGCTACACTGAATGTAAGGCTATCCCAGGTGAGAGTTTTGTCACTCAGCATAGGATGTTTGTGCTTGATTCTCAACGTAAAAAGAGAAGGCAAGTTAAGCAACAAGTGCAGCCAAAGATAAAGTATTGCACACAAAATATTGAAGGAAGATGTATGGTGTGTTGATAATGACACACATGTAGATGATGTGTGGTTATCAATGGAGTCGACCATTAACAAAGTGGCAAAAGAGATACTCGGAGAATCTAAAGAATGTATGTCATAAAAAACACATCTTGGTGGATGGCAGACATCCTGTCAAAACTTGATTCTTTTGTTGGACTTTCCAAAAATGTGGTCCCCATAGTTTCATATCACATTAACGCCTCATCTAGAGTATAAGCCTTGAGAAAAATGGAGCTATTTGATGGATAGGGAAATGTAATGACACTATACAATTGAGAAAGCCAATTAGAGTATGAGGAATGAAAGTTGAACTGGACAGATCATTTGAGAGCGCAGCAATTTTTTTCAGTTTTGGTAGGGATGCCATTAGAAGCAACAGAAGATTACATTTTTGCCACCTTCCCACACTTCATTCATCCACTCTCCTGTCCTGAACTATCAGTAGAAACTTGTTGTCCTCTTCTGCCATTTCCTAGCAATTTATGCTTAAACTTGATATTTGTGGTAGGAGAGTATCGACTGTAGAGGAAAGATTATCTCATGAACTAAAGTCTGATTTACTTTCTCTTCTCCCCTAAATTTTCTTCACATCCCCACTGCCGTCGTTGCTTCTCTCCTAGTTTCCTTTGTCATTCTGTGATTTCTAGCTTATTTCTTTCATATTGAAGTATCAAGCTTGGATTGTTACAGATTTTAATTATCTTGGAAGTAGTCACTTCTCAATTAGAAATCATAAGTGGTGAGCAGTCATACGGAATATAAACTGGATTCATCTTCAAATTTTCCCTTCATTCCAGGAATGTAACTGGGTAAACCCCACTTCACGGTATAATCTATCGATATGAGTAACGACTACCTCAAACTAACATCATGACTTCAAATAACCGCAATAAACAAAACCCTAACTAAGTGCAAAAAGACTAAAACAGTCGACGGACCTGCTAACGAGACTTCAATAGCTCTTGCTCTTAGTTGAAAAAGCGGAAGAACTGAAATACCCGTGAAAATGATCATCCTCCTGTTGCAGAAATCGCGGTCGTTTTGAGTTTCTGCTCGCACAAGCGCCAAGGCTGGACGAAGCTTTCTCCGATTCTGAGCATTCCTTGGGGCGAGGAAGAAGGATGAAGGAGAGGGCGAAAGGGACGAAGGGTGTGGATACGATAAGGGAAAAGAAGAAGAGGCGAAGAAAGAGTGATGGCATGGCGATTGCAGCAGGCAGCAAGGTGACCCCATTGCAAAATGTTGGAACTTTTATTCTTGATTGCTATGATAAGCAGCAGAACACGTCTACTGCCTTGAGGTAGCTATCTCCCAAACTTCCATTTTTCAATGGCGCTCCTGCTATTCTGTTCACAACACTGCATTTGATAGGAATCCATGTAACCTCTTAACAAGCTAATGATATTGTTATTACCAAAAAACAAGCTAATGATATTGTTAAATTTGGCTTACTCCATCCCTTTCAAATGTAGTCAAGTTGAGATTAATTAAATAAAAATTATATGGTACAGTTTTGTGCAGAGAAAAGAAAATTGAGTGAAATCTCAAATTCAACTTAAAGGAAAAGGGCAAAGTTAATGCATAAGTCACTACCTTCTGATTTTGTGATGTTTAAAAAAACTCTAAAATCTTCTAATTATATGTTCGGCATGATACTTTTTAGGAGTGTTTTTAAAATAAATTCTTTTTTGAAATGTTACATTGAATAGCACCTGAGAAAAGTCTCTACCTTTTAGCATTAATTAGTCACAACAACTTGTATACCAAACATAACTAGATCAAACAATCAGCTTTTTATCAAACAGATGTCATCTTAATTTTTCTTTTAAGATCTTTTCAATCATTAAAAGCAAATAAGTAATAAAAATATGGGAAACTATCAATTTGGTCCTCGTACTATCACAATAACGTCAATTATGTCCTCATACTTTAAAAAAATCAATCAAATCTCCGAAATTTGAAAAAACGTTCAATTGAACCAATTATCAGGTTATCTGCCACGTCAACAAGTCACATGCTGGCGTGGCACACACGTGATAGTTCAGACATCAGTGGTTTTGCTGACGTGACGCACGTGTGGAAGCTCAACCAGTCATTTTTCAATGATGCGGCGCCCATGTGAACTGTCACGTGTGCACCACGTCAACGGATGACATGCTGACATGAGAGGTAACCTGTTAATTGACTTAATTGAACTTTTTTTAAAGTTTGGGGTTTTGATTGATTTTTTTTTTTTGAAAGTACGAGGGCTTAATTGACGCTTTCGTGATACTACAAAGATATAATCTATATTCAAGAAAACAAACATCCTCACACTAGAGTGACAAAAGTTAAAGAAATCTACCATCCCCCATGATCAAAAACACAAATATAATTCTTAATTGAGGATTTAAATTAAGTTAAATTAAATAAAGGACTGAAAGATGTCATATAATTTGGAGAGTCATCCTACTTCTAACCAATATCAATTCAACCAAATCATACTAGACTCTAATGTCATATAAAGTGTAAAATATTTAATTGATCGAAAGTAGTGCAACATCCACCTTTTTAAGAAGTTTATGTCCTTCAATATTTTGATATGTCGTCGATGATGGAGTATTAACTCCTACAGAGAAGTGAGAGCTAGAGAGAGAAGTGCAATAAATGTTTGCTATTAATGATTTGTGAACCCCCTACAACTACTCCCAAGGGGAGTATTTATAGAGGAAATTAGAGCTGGACTCTCAAGTCTTGGACTTGGGAGGCCCATTTACAATTGGGCCACTACTGGGCCGAGTACAAAGAATCTAGAAATGACTAAGTATGGAATCCGGTTCTGTGAGTCCTTTGTGGACGACGAGGGTCTGGCCGACGGAGCCATGGCCGATGGTGACACCTGGTTCCCCTGTCCTCTAGATCATAATCTGAGTCGATATCTTTCTGGCCGATGGAGGGTCATCTGGCCGACGGAGACCCCACTGGGTGACAGTTGTGCCTCTTATTCTTCCAAGTATGTGGGTCCTGGGGTCCAGGCCCATATACTCCATCAGGAGTCCCCCACTCTCTGAGCTGAGATGCAGATGATGTGAGGGAGAGTAGATTCCACAATCTTGATGTTTTCTGGCCGTTATGGCCGTCGTGGCCATTTCCCGTTCTAGTTCTTCGTGTTTGGCCGTTGTATGCCCTTCACGGTGAACGAAGAAGACTGATGTTCCTCTGATGGTGTAAGGTTGTTTGTTTGTGGACGATGAGTGTCCTTGATTTGAATAGCCGATGAGGGTGATGTTTCTTCTTTCTGGTCGTTGGCGGTTGCTTTTTGTGTTTTGGGCAAGGAGGCCCCATGATTGTTTTCGTACTTCAGGCCGAAGCGATGATATCCATAGTTTGGTGTTCATCTCTTTGAGGACGATAGCGGCACTGATCCAGAGGAAGTTGTGCGTATTTTAATCTTGGCCGAGGATGATATCCGAGGACGTTGTGTTCCCGTTTTCTTATATTGGCCGAGAGTGGAGTACATGATCTCAAAGCCGTTGAGTGGCACGCGTCAAGGGATGACACGCATCACGTTTTGGGAGGTGAGCTATACTTCCTTGTTTGCTGACTTTGTTGCGGCCGAGGGTGCATCACAAGGTCCTGGACGTTATGGTGTATATATGACATAATGTTGTTGTAGTTGTGGACTTGTGTGTTTTTGGATTTTTGATTTTGTCCTTGCTTGCATTTAGAGGCCGGTGTAGTCCTCTAGTCCCCCACTGCTTCAGGCCGAAGAGTGAGCGAGGGGTGAAGGAGTAAGGTGTAACCCTAGGTCGAAGCGGGATCCTTGTATTCCCCTGAATCCAACCCCTTGGCGATTCCTGACCAAAGTAACTGACGAGCACTTTGTCACGGTGCGTCAAAATAATTTCAATACTAAACACTTATACGTAGTATAACGTAGTAGAGTTCGTATCCACAGGCAAAGGAATGATTCTCTTTTTATTAAACTAGTAATTAAAAAGGGGGGTTTTGGTTTTGAGTGATTTAATTCAATTAAGAAACTAAGATGAACAACCTATATGTGTTTAATTCAAGAATAAAAGGGACTTGGCTTTGCTGCTTTCCACTTGTTGATATATTTTAGTCGATCCTTGTTATATCTATAACTTATCCCCTCTCGAATACTCAATCGAGGAGTATCTCCAATTCATCGAGGGTAGTTATTAACAACGACCGTTCATTAATAACCCTTACTATTAATCAAATATAGAACAACGTCGTATACCGATATAATAGTAGCATTCAATCTTTTTAACTCCTTGATGAAATCAATTGAGATTTATAACCTTAACACAACGGTTTTGGTTTAACCAACAAAATTGATCCCTCTTAAGTTTATTAACCACGACCGTGCATTAATAAACCGAAGTTACTTACTTATGAAACCACCAACGATTAACCATCGGTTCGTTGATCGTTTCTAGTAGTAATTAATGTCAGAACGTTAACTAATCGTCACTTAGCAACCCTCCAACATTAATATAGAATGAGATTAAGGGAAGAATTAATAATCAAGAGAAGAAGTTAAGAAAATAACTCACAACTTTAATAATCAACAAGCTTCAAGAGCAAAACCAAGAATGGAAGTTTAGCTCCTCATTTGGAGACTAAACATAGCTAGAAAAATATAAAGAAATGTTATTCTAAACTGAGCTAAAGAGTATGGAAGAAGTGATGATTTTTTGTGAAGAAAAAGTGTGCTATTTATAGGTGTTTTTCAACACCTTTGGCCGGGTACCTGACCGGGTTTAGTGCTTACCCGACAGGGTACCGGTCAAAATCAGATTATCTCCCACGTTTTTTGTGTTTCAGCACGTTAAAATGTCCCGGGTCAAGTCAGACCCGACCGGGTCAAGTAGGGGACCCGACCGGGTTTGACTAAAAAATCAGATATTCTTTATTCGGGTGATCCTTGGCACGTTCTGGTGTTCCGGGTCACATCCGACCCGACCGGGTCAAGTAGGGGACCCGACCGGGTCTAGCGACTTTCTTGGCAATTTCGTCTGTTAAATCCTACCCGACCGGGTGGGGGTTTCTACCCGGTCGGGTTTCACTCCTAGGCAGTCAAATATCTTGTTTTCTTCTCTTCAAAGTCTTCCTTTCCAACACCACAAATCCTAACTATACTTTACAACTTAAAAATAAAGAATAAAATACAATTACAACTGAAATTACATAAATGTTTTCAAACTAAATAAAATGTCAAACAATCAACATAAATCAAACATAAAAACATGCAATTATGCAATACTAATTAGTGTGCATCAGTAACCTTGTGGGAGAACCCTTGGACGCAGATCGCTTTCAAGAAGTTATCATCAGGGTTTTATACAAGGCCGATGGTTGTTGGATTGTTTTTTGCTTTGCTGTTGTGGCCGTTGAAGGGGCCCCGTTGTTGGTAGTGTGTTAAGCCGATATGGGCGTACTTTGAAATGGGGCCAGCCGCTGAATGTTCTGCCGTTGTGGGTGCAACTTGTTTGGTTGTTAAACCGTAGGGTCTAACGTTGGGCTGATGGTGACGGAAGTGGGCTTGGCCCATCTGTGAAATGGTGGCACGTCACTGGGCCCTGAGGTGGTGAACGTTGGTGTAGCCACTAGGAGGGTGCCACGTGTAGTGACCGTTGGGGGGAGGTCTATAAATACCCCCCCCCCTCCTTCCGAAGGAAGTCCCTATTACATTCTGAGTTCACGAAGTGCTGCCCAAATTTCTAGAGAGAGAAAGGCTTGCTCGAGTGTCCTTCCGTTTCTTCAAAACTTCAAAGGTCAGTTCATCAACCCTTCTCCTCTTTTTTATATATTTTGCTTCCTTAGGCCTTGATCTAGTGTTAGTCAACTTAGATCCCATATAATCCCCTTTAGGCCTTAGTTAGCCGTTATGGTGAAACCTCTGGACGATGAGTACTACCCGTATGACGATGAGGCATCCGTGATCCGTCAAGTCCCTTGATTACGGGGTAGTTGAGGAGTGTTGTGAGGAGATTGAAGAGTTGAGTCCTTTTCGATCTGGGGAGCAGAGAGACGAGGAGATTTCGGACGAGGAAGCCGCGTCATCGTCTGAGGGTGAGGATGTCGGAGTATCACGTGCAGTGGACGGAGCGTCTACTTCGGCCACCATTCCTTGTCTGAAGCCGGTTTCCGCCGTTAAGGGCACTGCCCCAAAGAGAAGGCACCGGCCGAAGAAAGGTCCCACTTTCTCCTACCCGGATCTCACCAACGTTCGCATCATCAGGTCGCAGAGCTGCGCGGCCGAGTATAGGGCTGAGCAAAACCGACCCTACCCGAAGAACCCGATCGGGTGAACCCGATTTTTTGTTATTGGGTCGGTTGACCCGACCAGAACCCAGCGACCCAACCCGCCCACCCTATATTTTTTGGACCGACACCCAGCGG